GCGGAGTGATTTGCGGCTGCGGGTTTTCCCCAAACTAGGTAGAGCCACAACGGTCGTTTTCTCTTCTCGAAAGGCGAGTGAAGCCGGTGATGACTCGTCGAAACGATTGCCATGGTGGAACATAACGGTGACGTGGGCTGGTAGCGTGAATGGTAACCATGGTAACCACGCACGCACAAACAGAATGACTTTTGTGGTTCTGTGTTGCTTGTACTTTCCGTTATAGCGTTCCATCTCGAAATACGAGCCCAAAAATAATGGAAGCGTATCCTTTAATTCTCTCTTCCTCCAGGATATCCTGGCGCTTATGTTTTTGTTGTCGTTGAATGTGGTGGATAATTAGTGAATGAAAAGCGCCAGAATGCGTGAACATAAGCATTATGGAGATCATGTGACGCGTTGTAAGAGTCCAATAAATTAAAACTTCGGCGCCAGCTATATCGCGAATCTGGCAGTAATGTGCCGAGCCATCGATGCCATCCGAAGCAAACTGCGACTCTAATGGCACCTCTGCGGTGTCTGCGATTGTCTGAGATTAGAATCGGCAAGGAGTAACAGTAACCAGTTTGGATTGACAATGATTTCTTTGTGGTGTCCTACTGCTTCAAGAAACGAAGTTAATGTTCACTGTAGTTCTGAAATACCACGAGCAGTATGCCAACAACACCTTATTGCCTTATTACCGTGCTAACCACAAATACCACAAGAAATACGTCAACCCAGGATTTTTTTCATCAACTGCGTAACCTTTCTCCGTTCGAACGTTTCCTCTTAATTTCTAAAAAGGTGGGATCGATGTACGAATTTTTCCAAACAAGTGTGACAGTCTAAGTCAACCTGTACGCGCACGGTTGAGTCGTTGCTGCCTGCTCAAGACGCAGAGCGGCTGGTTCGCCGTTTCTGCGAATCCCCCTTGAAGTGCCTGTCAAGTCGCCTCGGGGAGGATTTTGTGAAATAAATAAACTCCGAATAAATCACTCTCCTGAGACGTTCCAGAGGCAGGAGGTGGATGAACTCTTGCAGATATCATACATCTAGCATTCTGTTGGATGAGTGTTGGGCTGGTTACACATCCAGCAGGAAGTGGTGCAATTCCGTTAGCGTACTAAGATAATATGTGGACGAGTTCCTCACCATAAACCCTCTGTTTGAAAAGAAAGACTTGGCTCTGTTTTGTCGACAGCGTAGAGCAAACGTTGCAGTCTGATACGTTTGAAATTTCCAGACATTTTGTTTCCCGATTCTAATGCTTCGATTCGAGTAAACTCTGGGTGTTTGATGCTCCAATGGGAGACCTTGAGACATTCGTAGCAGCAGACATACTGGTCCCTTTTCAAGAAATTGCGCTTGCTCAGAACTTTGCACGCATGCTCGAGCGCTCAAACCGACGTGCGCATGTTCAGAACTGATATGAAGGATCGGTATGTTTGTCGCCACCAAGCGTCTCAAAGTCTCCCAATTCTCAAGGAGTAGCAACAGCTCTCCGAGAAGAATTAGTCATATGTTGAGATAAAATGAAAGGCTATAAGTAATGCAGGTAACCGCTCCATGAGTAGCCCGGGAAATAAATGTAGACATTAAAATTAGGGGAATCAGTTTCAACAACGTGGCTGAATTATAATGGCAGGTAATACGATGTGCGAAGTGCTTCTTAGAAAAACATGGATGCAATGACCAGAACAGACTGGATTTATATTAGAAGGTACATCATAAACACAAGATACGAAATTTCACATCGTCAGTAAAATTATGCCGAAGCTAATTTTACTGCGCAGTAACGGCACATTGATTCGCTGTCCTCGCATGTTGTTATTCAATAATGCAAGACGATGGACAATAATTCAAAGAAAGTGCCGATTGAGAGATTATTGTGATCATTCTGAACGCGAAGCGGCACCACCGAGGCGCGCTATGATCAGCTGCCAAGCACCTGTGCCTTCGCTTTGATAACGCATTGTTCGATGAGAAAGTCAACGCAAGTCCTTGCCTGCGGATATTTGAGGTTCTGTTCATTATTTGATCCGGGTTCTTGTTACGAACGGGCTTGCATTAGCCATCAGCGCGAAGCTCCGTCCCCCGGCCGTTCGGAGCGAATGCTGGACTGCCAGTTTGCCCTAAGCAGGGACGTGGTACTTCACGTCTGACCATATTAAGCAAAGTTTACTTGAACTTTTGAGCAAAGGTTGTTTTGAGCAAAGTATGGACACGGTTCTTGCTACTCGGTAGCGGTGACGGAGGGAGAGGTTTTTGGCCGACACTTGATGAGTGCCGCCGTGCGCGCGGTGCCCTCCTTACACGTTCTAACGAAAATATTAGTTATGAGGGCTGTGTGCATTCATGTACGCGCGAGACAGTGCGCGCGCATGCACGATATGTCTGCGCCACGGGGTATTGTTGCTAGGCAACGAAGAACCCTCTTTTTCCCTGCTGGAAGCCGAGAGCTTTGCAAATTGACAGACTGAAGTCGAGTACACCAGCTGTGATGCAGACTTTTTTTTTTTGCTATCTCCACTGCCTGTTCCGTAGAGCCAGAGGTTTTTGAATTCTGTGCGCATTCTGTACGACAGCGAAGGTGTTCCTATTATACTTAGGCGCCGGTCCTCACGCCGAATTTTGTCTTTTCGCCCGAGTCGATGATCCTCTTGCTGCCTCTAGTGATCCTTGGTGGTATTCTGGACTCATCAATCGCCCTACAGTTAATTGCCATCCTCAAGTGTTCGCCGGCCGGGCCGGTCAATACCAGGTCGGGGGCCAGCGTGGCACGCGCGGTCCCCCGCCGGGGAGGCGACCCCGTTGGAGGACCCACCGTCGCCTGACCCGTTCACGCGTCGTCGAGAAGCGCGCATACCAAAATAGGCGCGATCGTTTAAGCACTCACCGAGTGATTATTTTGACTACAGACACTCAGTGGATGGGGCAGTTGGGTTCACCACTGTCTCAAGAAATCGAGGGGAAACGGACAGGTGTCGATAACCCAGCTTTAACGCGAAGTGGTCTTTTTTTAACATTTTGGCCGGAACGTTTCATGTTTTATTCAAACCCTAAATGGAATCTTCGACAGTTTCACTCTCTCCAGGGCAAAGTTGCCCAAGGCCTACTTCTCTTGCACGCGTAGATACACAAGAGCGGAATGAACTTTAGCGGATCGTGTATCTTTAAAAGATAACTATATATCAAGACACACTAAATGACAACACAGAGTACTAATGGTCCTCAACGTCAATTTATGCATCATAACAACTCAAGCCACGTACCATTCCACCCTGCAGGTTGAGTACACCCGCAGTGCAGAGAGCAATTAGCATTTGTCAGAAAGACAGGACAGGCTTTTGGCCGCAAAGTAAAACGCCCTTGAAAGCTACGTAAAACTTGCACCTGTGACACTTTTTTTGAGGTGATGCAAATCCTTACTCGAGCAACTGCTGCTTGTAAATGTGTAAATGTCTAACATTTCAAGCCGCAAGGTTTGATCAAGTCTTTTATCGTTAAATAGTAGGGGAATAGTTCTCGTCTATTTGTAGGTATTCTCAAGTTGTAAAGGACCGGGCAGTTTTTGTAACCAGTGAGCGATATTTTATCATCTCTCGAAAGCGCGATACATCCTCCCTCCATTGACCTTGGGTTTGTAATTCGCCTAAACGACTCACAAAATTAATCCGCGCGTACAGAGGCCGTGAATTCATCAATTTCAGCGTGAAACCTTGGGCCGTTAATTTGACAGGCCGGCGCGCGTTGTGTCCACAAATACCAGCCTTTATGTCCTGCTACTTCTCAGGGTGGTTCGGAATGACATCAATCAATGATGTGAGTAACAAATCTACGTGTACACGCTTCCCCCCTTTGTTACCATTCATTTATTTTTAAAATTTCATTTCATATTTAGTATTTTTCTTTTGTTCTGCGCGCGCATTGCACACTCACTGGTAATGAATGAACACACTGATGGGATTTATTTTAATGAACCTCGACCCCAAAGAGATTTGTGGAAAATTACGTCGAAATTACGGGATACAGGACCGTCATGGTTTAGGGGCTCCACTGATGTTAATTCAGCCTTTTGGGAGTTACATTTGAATAAAATCTGGTACACTGAGTTATCATTGCACATTAACATAACAGTTTAAATTCTCCAGACTAAAGACACTGTTGCTATACCTCGTGATTTGGGGCAAGCTTTCACATAGCGACCATGCACCATCTCTAGAATGGACTGGTTCCTTTGTGCCCTTCTTATATGAGAACAGTGTATTGTTACAAGGTGTCTTTATGAAACTAAGCAAAATCTTGCCCCGAATCGTGAGGTCAGCAACAGTGTCTTTAGTATGGAGAATTCAATTTGTTATGTTCACATGAATTTAAAGAACTCAGTGTACCAGATTTTATTCAAATTTAATTCGCAAAAGGCTTATGAAACGCGGCATTTTGGAGAGAAAATGAATGAACGGACAGTGACAGCCGATTAAATGCTATTAATGTTGAAGCAATTTCTCAAAGGTAAAACCTATCGTCACCTCGATCTCACACAATTTCATATTCGCGCTTCTACTTAGAAAATGAAACGGGTATTTATTACGTTTTGCAAATAGTTTCTTTGATTGCGATTCGAAGGAGGTTTTCAAATCACATTTGGTTAGTGATACCTCATCCACCAATTTTCTTTTAGGTTATAGCATCATTCAGCGTCATGACCTTCAGGTTTCGCGTTTGATTAGCTGGTGTCCAAGCAACAGGGTGGACCATGAATCTGTCGTTAAATCAGTTTGTTGGCAGCTCATCAAGTTACTTTTAATCCATGGGTCGAAGGTTTGAATCAAGCGTCGGTCTTTTATTTCTTACATCAGGTCAAAAATTACTTTCTTGAAGTTAAATATTGCTTTGTCAATTAAGACTGTGAGTCGTGTTAACTAGTCATTATTTTAGCCCAAAAAACTGAAACCCGCGTGCTTGCATTTCTGCCAAATTTTGAATGTATTTCTTCTTGATTTATTTCTGTCCAACAGGAAAGAGTCTGTTAGCCGTCCTGCCTAATCTGGTTGGTAAAGTCCTCACAGACGTATTCGAACTGAAGCGACCGCTGCTCAACTTCACCTGGGAAAATGTGAGTAAAGAGAACGGCCCCGCCCAATTGAGAATGGTGCCCGTCTTGTGTTTCTTTCAGCCACCATTTTGCACTGCTTTTGCAACATCCTACGTGACGCAAAGAGTGTAAGGAAGGAATCTGTGCCTTCAATGATTTGGAATTTTCCGCTGGGTTGAATTTATTGCAATCGATATCAAATTGCAAGCAACTAACCTGCGTGTCTTCGGGTTTCCTCGGAGAAAAATTAAAATCATACCTTGCAAAGTTTTAAAAAAAACGTGATTGATTAATGCGCGCTCTTGATGGGCAGATAATCGTTAGATAGTAGGAACGACAATTATTAAAATGTTCGAAGGGCAAAACAGATGTATCTGCTGTTTTTTTTTGGGGGGGGAGATTGTTTTGTTTTTTGTGTTTGATGTTTCACAGAGAAGCAGTTTACTTTTTGGTCGATTTATAAATTTGGGTCCAGTGCTCTCATGTCCCTGTCACATTCTGACACACAGTATATAATTTTGTAGGTTTAGAGCACATTAGTGAGTGATTAGGTAAGGCAAACTACCTGCAAAACAAACGAAAACAGTTTATTGTCAATCGTAATCATATTTCAGAGTTCCTTGTTACACAGGTCTGGTTTAATAGTAACATCAACATATCACACTTTGGGACACCAAATAAAATTCTAGAATGACTCTGTTTTTATATCTTGTTCAGTGTACATGCACAACATGTACAAATGTACAACCAACATTGAAGTGGTGCGATAAGGAGGACCGGAAACACTGACCGCGAGCTCTCCTGGCCATCCCCAGGCTATGTTCCCGTAATAAGCACCCCTTGTCCCCGCGCCGTCACTTTAACCGTCCGGGGATCGTGTCTTGATCTTGACCGGACAGAGGGGAGTCACGTTCCCGGTGTTTACTTCTACCATCGGGCGACCATCTCCACGGGCCCGTCCCCTCCGGTGATCTACTCGGGGAAATTGCTTCAATCAGAGGCTGCTCCACAGATTGGAAGCGCGGGGGAAAGTGGGAAAGATGGCACTTTTTCAAGGATCTGCAGCCGGAGTGATTTTCTTTATTCAAATGAGGATGACACTCGAAACCCCCCAAAATCCTTCGGGGAGAAGAACCAACCGCTTAAGGAGCATTCTGGGAGGTCAATGACCGCGGACCACACAAAAGTTGCATATAGATTTGTTTACCTGCACCGTACGTTGATTTTGTAACTTTAGGATCCATGCCTTCTGTGTTGATTAGTAAGTCCTTAGATCTGTGCACGAACTGAAGAGGGCGCCTCGTAAAGCTTGGGGCGGATCCAAATCCACTGGCCAAGGCTTGGAATGAGAGCTGCTTTCGAGTAGGCAAGCGAGCTGTTTTCAGCGGGAGCCACAGCTTTTGGACGCATTCTAAGATCCTTGTGTTAGTAGTCAGACTCGAAAAAGAGACCTCTTAACAGGCATGGTTCGCGTTCGCGCCGTTATAACCCATGGGATTGTTCATATACCAAGAAAGTATCCTCCTATGATGCAGTGTAAATTACACGCCGATTGTGTTCGTTTATACGCCAGTTTAACACCACAGTTTTTCCGTGGAGCTCGATGTTTCCGTTACGCCTGTTCAACTAGTAAGAATTTCACTCAGACCTCGACCGCTTGTTTTCCCACCGCCCTTAAGGCTAGTTTCGTACTTGTTGCGAAAGCGAGCACCGTCGCGACATCGGGACGTTAGATCCAACATTGGCGCTGCGAATTCGCAACAATTCAACACATTTTGGAGTCATGCAGATTTCGCTTCGAATGCTACGTGAAGACAACCACGCTTGCCCTCCGAGTTTTGCCCTTATTACCGCCGTGATGAGCCGGCCCGAAGAGCTGCTATGCCCTGCCCATGGAACAAAATTAAACTCTTTCCGTCGTGGCACTGATGCATACAACAGCTCGGCTTTTTTTTTATTTAATCACGCGATCATTAGCGACAACTAGCTCTTGAGAGAGAAAAGGCGATATCACCCAAAGGCTAAGCGCACTCCAAGGGAATCTCCCGCTTGTGTGTACATTCACAACACAACCGAACCACGAATGCATTATTACCCACCGGTGGCGGCATTTTTTGCAACTCGCCAGAGGATTTGCGATATTGGCCCTTGAGTTTTTCAAGGGGCGTCCTGTTGATTTAGTGACGGTTTACATTGTAGGTCATCGTTCATTAATCCCAGCTCAATCTTTCTGCTTTTTCACCGGTGTTTTTCAGTCTTAGCTTTCCCTTTCGTGCGTGCACGGAGGGGAGTGGTCGGCAATGCCAGTATATTTGTTCTGTTCTTTATAATTATCTTCATTCCAAGAAACCGATCATGAACCACTGCAAATTTGAGCAATGTGGGAGAGCATTTATTGAAATGCAAGTTGAAAGAACCAATCGTTGCACGGGATCGTATAGACATCAGAAACCTCTTCATAATTCGTAATTTTGTCTGCAGTAGTTTGTGCCTTGGTTTATATCCCTGCGACCTACCAGCAACCTTTTATAAAATAAGTATTTCATTTCCAGCCTTGAAAGTACGCTTGCAGTGCATGGATTTAATTTAATCCTCCACTCTATACTTGGACTACGTATCGCGGGAGTCAGTGTACTTCAAAATTTCATTTTCGTGTCAATCTTTATTTCGCTGACAACAAGAGAATCCAATCAGGCTACTCACTAAGCAGCGCGGATATTACTTTGTTTCGAGTACGAAAGATCCGATTATGCACGTAGGACATCCCTTATTTCGAAGGAGAAAAACGCATCCATATTGAACGCCGGTTGAAGGGTCTTATCCTCCAAATGGCTATCCTTCAAATATTAAATGCAGGTTTGATCTCGGAGAATTGCCGGTTTCATATTGAGGTCTGCTACTCGCTCGATAGTCCACCGTTCCTTCGCCGTGGACAGTGATGAATCTGCCCGCTTCTGCGACATCAATTCTTAATATCCGCAGCGCAAGTGGTTGAAGTGCGCGAGCATATATTGCTTGTCCTCAACAAGGTTTCAGGAGGAAACTCCTGATAATTATTCCTGATTTTTTTCTTGTCCGTAGGTCTATCCGAGATAATTGTTAGGGAAATGAGGACTTGTTTGTGACTCTTTAAGTATTGTGTGGTCTGTGAGTGCCAACACGCAAGGGCGCTCAAACACTGCGCGGCATGCGGCCCAAGTGGCGTTTATACACGAAACTGAGCTGAGGCAACTGTGGAACTGTTTGACAACACATGCCCCTTGATGTGCGTGCAACAATGTCATTATCCATCCATGTTTTGTCCAGTTTGGACATCCCCATGTCGCAAGCATTCCGGTCTTTGCTTCAGGAGAACCTAAAAATAAATGCATCCAGACGGAAAGAATCCCACCAACGACAACTGTTTGGATATCCCTGTTGTGTTCATTTCTTTCCAATGCCTTAACCACGACAAGAATAAGATCAGATCCATGGCATTTGTATTAAGGTTCAAACATTTTATACCCGAAGACCAATTTATTCATGTTATTCACGAAAGGGTTAACTTCTAGCATACCTGTGGTACGTCAACACGGGCACATTTGTGTGAGCTGCATGTTCCAGATCATCCACCCGGTCCTCTCCGGCTGAGTAAGATTCAGGAATCATTCACGAACCCCCGCGAATATTCACCCGATGAATCTTGACACAAGGCTGCTTGGAAAAAACATTAAAGACCCGCGTCTGAACCCCCCCGCCTGGATTGTCCTTCCGGTACGAGTTCGTGGAACTTCAGTCTACGCCATGCCTTCAACCATGAAGATGTGCTACGTGAGCGATTCCACCGTCCCAGTCTGAAATTTATTGCCCTGTCACCAGTCCAGCACATTTTCAGCAGCAAACAGCCGTTGGCTAATGGCAGAACTGTATTACGAAGCGTGGGCCCGGCGTCTACATTTTATCCTGTACTTATATATTTTCCATGATACCGTTAATTTGTAGTGTTTGGGGGCGATATCTGTTTATTTAATAGGCGTACTTGAAAGTAGAATGTGTTTTAATGTCAGAGTCCATCAGCCTTACTTTCGTTTTCTCATAAATCTTAAACATTTGGGGCTAGATGTACTTGTTACGGTGATGCCATCTTTGAACAGTTAAGCGATGTGCTTATTTCTTTCATTAGTTCAAAAAAAACGGACCCCGTATATTTCAGCGTGTACTATTTTTGTCTCTAGATACGGGCCCATGAAAACGTCGTTTTCGAGGTGATCACGGTCAACATGGTGGTGCGAAGCATGTCAAGCGTTCTGCCAGAGGAAAATGAGAACGAGGTAGCACCGGTACTGGCTGAGGTCCCCGAGAACGTGGATGATGAAGAGTATAAAGGTAAGATAGGTGTGCAGGCGATCAGACATGCTTGTGTTTTGCTACTAACTCGGCACAGAAAGGCACCCCAGCTTTGTCAGAAAATGCACTCCCTGTGAGTTGTAAGGAACACGATGCTGTCTTGGAATGTGCTTTTCTTCCTTGTACCTTTCCTAAAGTGAAAACCTTTCTAGACGCGTTTCGAGCCGTAAGATGAATTGTAATGGGTTTACAGCTGTAAGTCGCGGATTAACGTGACCACTGCAAGTATGATTATTATTGTTTTTTTGTTTTAAAGGAAATTCAAATTTTGTTTATTTCAGACAGCAAATGCACATCTGCTGTAGTGGGCGGAGGCTTCCAATGTAAGCCACTGCGTTCTTTGAAATCCTCAGTTGAAAAATCACTCCCTCTGAAGGAGACTAACGACTTAACCAATTGGAGTGAACTTTCGTTTCTCCAGTAGATCACGATTTCACTCAGTTTATTACTGACAGGGATTCTTTTGTGATCTGAATTCAGAGTGACCCTAGTTTCACTCCTTCTGATTTAAAGAGCACACCTTTTTGGTCTGGCAGATATCTCGACTGTTAATGGTGCGTTCCGACGTAGCAGTTGACCCAGGACCCTTTATCGAACTCTTGGTGGCAGCATTCCCTTGCTCTTCCTTCTCATTAAGTGATAGAGCAGAAACGTGTAAGGAAACGTATATACGAGTGTCTCCGAGCCTGTTTAAAACCATGACAGTTCATTGGTACAACTACATTGATACCGCCACCAATGGCTGAGAAGTTTACGAAGTCAGTTAACACTTAGCCCTAAGCCTGATTTTGTTCTTACATTTTGTTACTGAGCGGCACTATAGAACCCTTCTCCCACGGACTTCATATAAAAAGATCTGGACCTATAATTATTCCTTATTCAGCACACAAAGGTCATTGAAGCCACCGGCGGCCATCTTACCGTGCCAAATACGAAGGTAATACAAAGACTTGACCGCCATTTTTTACCAAATTCGTTCATGGCAGGAATAGTGACACTGACAAGCGAGCTAACTACCGCCTTTGTATTCGGCACAGTAAAATGGCCGCCCGTGGCTTCGATTGGGGTAAAGCCATTGCGAGTCCAGATTTTTTTATACGACATCCGTGCGTCCTCCCCTGTCACTGCCCTTCACCTTCAGTTCAATGCTGGGTGCCTGCTTTGACGACACTGACATTTGCTTCGAATCCTAACATTGTCTCCTGGCAATTTATGATGCGTTTATAACCGTAACCATCGCCATGTTGGAATTTACACGAAATTCGAGCCTTCCTTTGGAAGGTTTATTTGTATCTTTCCTTTATTTTGCTACTCCTGTGTTTTTTACATTTAACCTCAAACTTTTGGTGGTTTTTTTTTTTTTTGGTGTTGTGTTTTAACCTGTAAATTTTACTACTATCAGTGAATGCGTATCTGTGTAATATTCTGCAACTTGTGGCGAGGACTCTGTAGTTTTCTTTGTTAACCTTGCATCCTTCGTGGGTGATTCATCTCGATTCAATGAGTGGTCTAACCCAGAGCCTTCAGTGTGATAAGGCTTGCTTCAGCCAGTGGCTTAACTAACGTCCTGCCTATGACAAAACTGGGCTTTTCGCGGGGTTGAGGTTCAAAGGTGAAAGAGTTGGGTCCATTCTGTGACAGAAATTCGCTTTAAGTGGCTCGGAAACCCCAGCATGTGATTTTTCGTTATTACTTGGTACATTTTCAGATATTGTGTCTGAGGTTTTTCATCATTTGCTATTGCCTTTTGAAAAGAATGCAAGACAGGACCTGATTTTAAAGGAAAAGTCTACTCTTGATTTTCTAGGTTTACTATACAGCGCATACCTCGTTTCCCAACCCTGTACGTCCTGCTTTCCCGATTTCTTGAGAGCATTGCTAAAAACATAAAATCGGTGGAAAAAACTGGGTAATGTTATTATTACCCGACAGTTGGTGTGAAAGTGTCTATTTGTATGGGGTAGAAACATTTACCAACGTCTGGCAAGACTTTTCTTCAAGGTATAGAAATAATGGACAAAAAGTGGACGAAAAGTTGAGCAAAAGTGCATCTTAAAGGGTTTTCAAAGTACCGTCAGTTGGTGTCTTACTGTGTAATCCGGTCTTAGAGACAAATACACAAGAAGTACAGTCAGGGTTTTACCCCAAGGTATCAACATTAATATTCCAAACTAAAATGAAACGCTTGAAACACAATACATGATTATTGAATCATCTTTAATATGCATCGAAAACATTAATCTTGTTGTTCCGAATACATGTACTTTAAAAATTGACTTGGTAATTTCCAGAAATGGTTATGGAAAATCAATACAAATACATTTTTCACTTTGGGACTGCTCCTTAATTCCACACTTAGTGACCCAAACCGATGATGTTGGTTCAAGTTTTTTTGACGTAATAAAGATGCTTTATTTTTGACTCTCAGGACCCCCCCCCCGACTAACTTGGGGCTTATTCCGTCACCTTGGTCGGGGAAAATGTCAAAGCAATCATTTCTCTTCAAATCCACTTGTTACAATACATGTAGCAGTGGACTCGGCCACTCTTGCTTAGTCAGCGATCGACTTGATCCGTTAGTTGTGCCACTGGATTTAATTGGTTAATGGACAAGCTAACTCATTCTTGTGTCTTCCACTTGTTTCCTCAGCTCTCATGAAATCTTATCCAGCTGCTAGATTAACTCTTAAATATCAATCGTACTTTTCTTTTAGTATAAATCGCTGTTTTTATTAGAAGGTCTTCTGTAATTAGGTCTGATTTAAACAGAGATAGGTTCAGTTAGCTGTCCTTTCCTGTGAACATAAACTGTAAAGAGAATTGATAACTCCACTGCTTTTCTCTCTCGATAAATGCTGACTTGACGTCGTGAAGTAAAGAATAAGTTACTCAAACGAGGAGAATCCTTTGCCAAAGTTTCCGAAGGAGGGGTGCCGGGAAAGCCCTATAGAAAATCAGGTAAAAAACGCCAGCCAATCAGAGTACTCCAAAACAGCTGGCACTCCGATTGCTACTTGAGCATGCGCACAAAAAGTCACCTCTAGCACCACGACGGATAATAATTCATCAACACACTTTGTCGTGATTATTCGTTCAACCTGTAAGTGTCAAACATGGTTTTTCTTTCTTTCTTTTTTTCGACATGACGTTCAAGAAAATGTCGAATGACCGCTGATAAGAAAAATCAAAGGTTTTTGTTTTTCAACTTGCACGGCACTGAACTTCATAAATGGCCTCTTTTTGCTGTAGTCTGTAGTAGTAGCTAACCCATTCTGCACCGCATGACCATATCTATTCAACGCCTGATATCGTATGTCTGCCGATTCTTGGGCTCTTTTAGAGAATGTCTATTTTCATGCGAATGGAATATGAGTGCCTGAAGAAATGTTCACTGTTTTTGTGGCTGCCTTTTGAATGACCGGACGAAGCTGTGCTTTGGGTTTGTCTTTCTCTGCCGTATATCAATGCGCAACCCAAGGTGTTGACGCCACACGGTTGGAGTGTAGATTTCAACGCATTAGTGGTGTGTAGGAGCTGTTTACCAGTTAGAGTACAAACACCAGCGATACCATGCAACTGTGTCTGAGATTGAGGTTGTAGTTCCATGTAGGGGGAGCTAGAGTGTGCATGCCCGTAGGTCGAGAACGAGGCCTAATAGGCCTAGTTCTGTGCGCAAAACATGCAGTGTTAAATAAATAACATGCGTTTATGTCTCATCCCATCTGTGAAGTGGTCCACACGGTGTTTATCCAACACGGCATAGTTAGTATTTCATGCACAGATTAGTTAATAGAGCCTCCCCCATTAGCTTGGTTGAAAAAGTCATTCATTTTCATAAGTTGGCCATATCTTTTTTTTCTACTTTGTTCCTTTGTGAGTTCATTCGTACGGGGATGGCTTTTTTGTAAGGGAAATCTTGTAGAGAGTAACTGTATCCCTTTCACGTTTACCAGTCGGTTGAAGTTTTTGGTTTGCAAAATGCAGTCATTAAACTGAGATTACTCTGAAGACTTGTTTCTACACTGCGCAGCAATTTAATAAGACTGTTTTGTTAATCATGTTTCCTCATTGCATATTGGCAGCATCAATGCGTCGAGCTTGCGTGAGATCACAAGTCATTCCTAACTGTACTTAATTACATTTTGCAAATAAAAGGCCATTATTGGGTTCAGGAAGTGCGAAAGCACTTACGGTTCTTAAACCATTGGAGCACGCCTTGGTTTGAAGAGATTGTAATTGCATTTTCGAATTTTTGCCTGTTAAATAATATGCATGAAACTTTCCTCTTTCCTTTCCTGCCGTATTCGAAATTCTATTTGCTCTGTCTTTTATTCTAATTTTGTTTTACAATCAAACATAAAGAAAGCTTTATGAAAATTGCTACAGCATGAAACTGGTACTGACTGCAAACAAAAAGGCATGAATGCTGTTTTTAGTTGAGTTTGTTTTTTTTTTAGTTGCGTTGCATATTCTGGGAATTTCGGGGACGAAAAGGACTTCAACTCTTGCCTGTGTTTTGGAGCAAGCATAAAACAGTCGTATACCGGTCGATCTTTTCAGGAGATGATTGCATTCATTGATGTTGTTATGGTGTTGTTTTCTGGTCAGATTCGGGATACTCCATTTGTGACGACGAGTGCAATGGTAAGCCCTCTAGAGACAGGATTTCATAAGTTCCTTTTTTTCTTCCCAGAACGCCAATGGAAAAAAACTTCAAAAAAATCAACACCAAGGACATAGTGGATAAGTGGAAGAAAAATATTTAAATGTATAAAATAAAAATTTTTTTTAATTTAATTATTATTATAATTATTTTTTTTTTTGGTCACAGCTTTACAATGTCACCCTTTTCACCCTTATTCGCACAAGTACGGTGTCACAAAGTTATTTGCTTGCAGATTGTACTGATCATGAAGTTGTCGTCGATCGGTTAGGAAATTCTCATGCATGTGTGTTTTATCAATTTACACTCCCATCAGACGGGGCGTCGCGACTGGGTGCAGTAGGCCTCCTTCCTTTTTGTCCTTTCTCAACATTTTTCTCTTCAAGTTTCACCCTTCTGACCTTCTTTTGTCCGTACTAACGCCCCCGCCCCCGTCTTTCGTCGTCTTGTCTCTCTGCATTTCCATCGCTGTCTTTAATACCCGATGGGTTAACTCGTTAACGATCGCGAACGATGTCTGCGGGCGCAGCTTTTGTAGCGCGCTGAAAGTGAATTCCGTAGTATATCTCTAGGCATTTTCTGGCCAACACAAAATACATGAAGCATGCGTTCAACCGAGTGTTTGTTTTGCTGGTAGCCACGAGACCGTAACGACTGTGCGTTTGATAGTTACTTGTTCGTGAACCAGCAAAGTGCAGTTCCGACCAAAGCAGCCTAAGTTGCTAGGAAAATTGCGCCCTCTCTTGGTCGAACTCGAGGCTCACAGCGCTGCATGCAAGTTGTGTCTTTTCTGTGTAAGTCGGCCAATTATGCTACTTGTCTTTCATAAGAGCCACACGGATAGATTTCGACTGTCTAAGCACTTGTCATCAAGTCTACCGTACGAGTGGCGACGATTCTAAGTTGAATGAGCGCGAACTTGTGGAATCTTTGCGGGCTCTCAATAGGAGGGTCGTGACCTCTTCATTTGTTCACCACCATTTTGGTTTTGATTTTGGGGGTAGGAAGTTGTTTGTTCGGGTTTATAGGTTTGTTTCTGAGGGTTGCTTTTGTTTTTTGTCTGTTTTGTTTGGCATTCGGGATGGGAACTCCGCTAGGTTTATCTTTTGTCACTCGCCCGTCTCCTGTGAACGGAACTGTGGACAAATTTCGGTTATTTCTGCACGCGAACGAGTCAGCTATATCCATGGACATTCCGTGAAACTTTCCTTTCTTCGACATCTTGCTCATTCCCGAAGCTCACGTAATAATGTGGGCACTTGGTATGATTTTTTTCACCTATTACTGATTTCAATTGAGTTGTCCTCTGCATCACTGTGTAAAGCCGCCATATTTACCCAGCTCTGGTTGTACAACGAATTAATATCCCCTTTTCTTTTCTTTTCTTTCCCCCGGGTCCGGGACTAGTCTCCCATTCCCTTGTTTCCCAGTCCATTTCCGCCTGGCGTAAATTTGCTCGCTCAACAGGTAAATTCAAAGAACTCCTGGTTCTCTATTTTTCAACCGGCGATATGATTCTGAACGGTGTTTCCCGCTTGTTTCCTTGATTGTAATGCGTTGATTTTGAAGCCATCCAAAAGAGAGGGTTTTTACATTGTAAGCGCGAGCAGAAGGTTGCGGTGCACCACCGTGCAGTGACAAATTGTCCTGCCGAAGTCTCGTTTGAACGACGGTCGTTAAAGAGGCATGGTGATTTCACTTACTTCAAATCACAAGGTTTTACAGTACCCTGCGCCCCAACATCATTCTACAAAATGTCCATTTAATACCGGCTCGCGGGTTGACATCGGTGTGGAACCACCGCGAGGCTTCAGCAGCTTCATACAGAACGTCGGGAATTGCAGAAATAAAAAGGGTGAAATCGGTGGGAGTAGACGAATTCAAGAACTTTGAATGATCGCGGCATCTCATGTATATAGCAACAAGAAGGGGGGGTTGTAAAGTTTGGTCGTGGAATCTTAGACAAGGTTCGTTAAAGAGCAGTAGCGCACCCAAGTGGGTCGGGGTATAGCTTCTATCGTTTTTTGCAAACCATCTAGTCCATGCGCCAAGGATTACTTTCCTGCAGAGACTGGAAAAGTGTGCAAATCTTGTTTGGTCTGCGCATGCAATTTTGGGTCCACTTACTGGCTTGCAAGTGAAGGAGACCAAGGCTGGACTGCGTGCTTGAACGCCATTGGTCCGTTGTACGTGGCGCCTGTGCGCAGACAAAATGGCTGAGCAGACGCACGTCATCACGCCGACGAGTGTCTGCCAATCATGGTGTCGTTGTCCACGCACGAAGACAATATGAAATTAGAAGACCTTTTTTTTAGACTGGTACTGTAGATACCTGAGTTAGGTACAGACGCACAAAGCTATCGAAAATGAGATACCAGTCTTTGTTTTTAGCGCAAGAAAATTGGGTAAAAATTGGCATCACTCAAAACCCGACTGTCGAATTAGCCCCAGTCGTATTAATTAGAGGAAAAATTCGTGTTTAACGGTGGCGTTTCTGGAAATATTTATTCTACACATCGAGCAAATCGTGATCACGAAAAACTTTCACCCGTTTTCAAACCCTGCTCACAATTATATATATAGTTTATGGTCGGTATTTGGTGAAGGGTATTTATTGTCGATTGTAGAAAGAGATTTAAAAAGCTCGAGTTTCCAACAATTGCTGTGGGTGGTTTTGCTCATTGCATGGTCAAACTGGAGAAGAGTTTGTTGACGTTTTTCTCCAATTTTTGAATGTCTTCTGCAGTTTTTCGAAAGAATGGTTCTTTTCTTACTAACATCTTAAGCAAACGTAGATGGATAGAAGTTTAGTTTCAATCAGCGATTTTTTTTCAAAGGCAACTTTCCCCAATCAAAAAGAGGCCATTGTGGAACTGTGCGCTCCAACTTGTCGCAGACAACGGTTTTGGGCTGAAATTTATGACCGTGAACTCTTGAACTTACAGAAACAAACTTACATTTTACTTGGGAGAGGTTGCGAAATATCTGCAGCCTTAGCTCTTGTCGGAAAATATTGGAGTAGTCACTTTTATCGAACCCGGCCGTTGTGTGAGCACAAATAAGCCGCGTTGTTTCTTTAGTAATATAAAAGGGACGATACGGGCGATTCACCACAGTGCGCCTCCAAGAGTTTGCGACGCGTTGGCCAATCACAACGCGCAAAATTTATCAACCCTTTCCAAACGCCCACTGGGTCGACAAATTTCGCGCGATGTGATTGGCCAACTCGTTGCAAACTATTGGAGGCGCACTATTGTGAAACGCCCGTACTTGTCAACGATACACGTTCAAGCAGTTTATGCATTAAAACATTCATGGGATACGGTATATCGTTTCATGAAGGCGGCACTTGATAATCCAATTTAGTTTCAAGCTCAATGTCACTTAAGATCTTTCACGTTTCTGAATAGGTCGTACGCGGTAGGTTTATCAGTTTTATAACATATCGAGCGGATTTCAAAAAGAAGTCCCTTATACACATCAGTAAGGATTCTGTGCTATTTTTCTGCAAGTCAGTGCGTGAAGCGTTTCAGAGTGTTTTGTTTACAAGGATTGCATTTTAAGAAGATTTTTTTTCTACTTTTTTTTACTGTTAAAGTACAATAGTTCGACAGTTCGACAATGATTAAGGTGTTATTTTTCCCGGACAGTTGCGATTTCATGAACGACTATCGAGAGTACTTTGCGGAAAACCATAAGTTATCCCTGGTACGATTGCCTTTGTTGATTGTTGATTGTTTTAGATGCTTCTGTCTTCCCAGAAAGAATGATAAGAAGCACAAACGGCGTTAACTTCACGCGATTCCTCGGTAATTCAGGTTTGGTCTACTACTCGTAGCAGTTTATGAAGGTCGTTAGGACTGACCAGAAACAGCTCATGCATTCGAAAATTGAACCCACAAAATTTCTCACGGTAAACAGAGATCATCGCGGAGAATTTACACCCCAGGAGACTACGCTTAAAAGGGCAGATGAAGTACGTTCCGGACTGGGATGGATATGTCTTCCTTGCTACACCGTTGTAAGTACCGTCACTGCCCTTTAAAGATGCCATATTTCGTCCACGATGTAGAACAAAAGTAACAGCGTAGATTTCCTTTTTTGCAGGCCGTGAATTTGTGCACTTTTCAACTGTTAATTCTGTGACTTTGAAATGAAGCGTGCCTCATCTTGGTACATAATATCAGGCAATTGACCCATGAGAAGCTTCCTGACAATGATTGCTTATGTAAATTGCCATTGATTTCTTTTCTAGCATGCCAAATCTAGACGCCATGTTCCAGACTGGGCTGTACATAAACGATCTCAGCATGTACGACTCGAGCAGAGACTTGGTGTTGGCTGGCACCCAGCAATCTGCTGAACTTAAAATAGCCCTGGACCAGGTAAAGATTTCGCATGTCTTCACAAGCGGCCAGTGACTGTTGGAAGTTGGAACATCTCCCACCAATATAATGTCACATCAACTTCGATGGTGTTTTATTTCCTGATCTAACATTTCTCTAAGAAACTTTGGCTGCTTGATGGTGTCCGGCCATGGCAGTTTTGTTCACATGAAATTACAAACAGATTTAAATAGTCGTCACCTTTGAAGACCACTGCCCAACATCGGGCTCATTTCAAGGACTAGGTAAGATTTGGTGTTATCAATCCTGAGAAGGTAGTTATGATTTCCCTCCACCCCCCCCCGACTTTGAGTCCATTTTTAAGTTAAAACTGACTTCGGCCCGTGAACAAAGGCATACAACATTGGGAAATAATTGTGTGTCGCCCGAGATGAAACTCATTTGTGGAACATCGTCACGACATTCAAAAGTTGACGGGTTCGAGACTCGCTTTGGTGGGTGTTTAATCACTGTCGTAGCAGCACATTCACATTGAACGATCTTTGGCTCACAGGAGCTACAAAAGAGCGCCCAGCTAGAGCAGAGCATGCGTAAGCTGGACCAAGAAATGAAGCGCACTGATTCGCTGCTGTACCAGATGATCCCCAAGGCTGTGGCGGATAAGCTGAGGCGAGGGGAACCAGCCACCAGTACGTGTGAGGTATGTGCTGTCACTGGTAGTCAGAAATCTTACTCATAAAAAACTCCTTCACGTCATTAGTACATGTGCACCTATTCTTGAAAGCAAATCAACAACAATTTCAGTTTGCGTAAATTTTGCATCATCAAGGAGACTCTTATTGAGAGCTGACGTTAAAGGATTACAGAAATAGAAAACATTTAGTTCGCTTGAAGTATTTTCAAATAACAATAAAACAAAAAAAATCCCCTTTTGGCCGTTGGCGCTCCCAGGCTGATCGGATGACGTCATCGCCAGAACATGCGTGTACAGTGTACATGCTTATAGCGCAGAGTACATGCAGTGTTGCACGCTTCAATAGACCACGTTGTGTTTGAGGTAGCTTGGCCAACAGGGCAAACACTGTTTCAGTTCTAGAAAGACAGTGTTTGCCAGGTAGGTGCGTTATACTGCTTTAGGTCAAAAAGTTATTTAATTTCTCCAAGCGATTGCTCCCAATCCAGTATATCTGGTTGGTTTTGTGTTCAGGTTTTCAAGGACGTCACGATACTGTTCAGTGACGTAGTGGGCTTCACGCAGATCTGTTCGCGCATCGAGCCCATGCAGGTCGTCTCAATGCTCAACGCCATGTACACAAAGTTTGATCAGCTCAGCGAAGCCCACGAAGTGTACAAGGTGAGGCACATGCGCAATCGACGTACATTTCTGAGTTGTAGGCCCGTATGAACTGAATGAGCTGGTGCATGATTTCTTTAGAGAATAATGCATATGCGTATATGTTACGTTGCAATTCATTGACTCGTTGACCAGTGGTTCTCAATCAAACTTGGTCCCAGGGTGTTGTGAAGAAAGGTTTGAGGTAATGACCTTCTGATATGTGTTGGGTTTTTTCTTCAAATTTCCTTGGTTCAAGGTTGAAACCATAGGTGACGCCTACATGATAGTAGCTGGTGCCCCGATTGTCACCAAGTTTCACGCAGTCCGCGTTGCAGAGATGGCACTAGCGATGAAAAGAGAGATTGGCTCCCTGAAGGACCCCTCCACGGGCCACTCACTACAGATCAGAATTGGTAAGGACGGCCGCCAACACCCACTGATACGCCATCAACTGAGTGTTACCGTCTGCAAGTCTACTTTTAAACTTACTGCCATGGGCAAATTGTGCACTACCATAGTATTTGGTTTTCCTCTTATCATTGAAAAACTGCAAATTTCCTTATCACGACAGGTATGAACTAAACTCCACAAAAGCTTTTATCGTTTGTACACGTCCATTTTGAGACAAAAAAACACCCACGGGGATAGCGAGTGTTAATTCAAAGATTCACGGCAAAAAGGTCTCATGGGATGTAGGAGATCCACCTTGTTCACCCGATCTGACCACCGATGTTAATAAACGAGGCATTTAAGGCAAAGTGCCGCCTTTGAAACATGCCGGTAATACATTATAGAATAATGTCATATGGATACCAAGCTAAAAAGTGAAGTGCAAGTCGATAAGGCCAACGCCTTATCGACTTGCACTTCACTTTTTAGCTTGGTATCCATATGACATTATTCTATAATGACTGAGCGCTTTTTTCTTGAATAAAATAAAATGTAAGGCTACAAATTTGGGCAGTAAATTAAATAACGTGTCATTTTTTTTTCAAGACAAAACAAACTGGGGGAAAAAGGATGAAGTCAAGGAGAATGAACGAGGAACTGTAAACTCGTGCTACGAATGGGCGAGGCAAAGCCTGGCCCATTCTTGCACGAATCTACTGTTCCGAGTTATGATTCCCCATTTGCCATTGCAGCCAAACCTATCGGTTCAACCACCACAGGACTCTATGAAATTGAAGAATGCTATATCAACCTCGTGAAAGTATGGTCAACACTTTTAGAATCACTTTACGAATCGCTCAAAATGAGCTTCACTGATACTAATTCATATTCTTATATATGAATCATTCCGAAATGCCCCCTCACTACAGATTGCTATTTCCTCACTACAGATTGCTATTTCACTTGGAGAATGAGCAACCTTGGATTCAAATTACAATGCCAATTTTGGAGTCAAACAATAACATTTAAGAATTTCTGTAAAACGCACATTTCCTCCTAAAATTGTTTAGAGCGCTACAAATATTAGCAATGCAAGAAAATTTACGGGCTAACTCTTCAAGCAAGATTACATATGTGCTCGGGGAGAAGCCATTCTGACAGATCTGTCAACTCAGGACCGCTATGTTCTTGGGACAACTAGAAGATGTGTCAATTCAATTAAGCGATACATGTAATCCAACACTATAAAAAAAGAGTGGGCAAAACCTAGACACAGAAATGCAGCCAAAATACATCAAGTTAAATCCTTATTGAAAGGTGAAGAGAAAATTCAAATCCTTGTTGAAAATTTTGCTTTCCAAAGCATTCATCTTGAAAACTCGAGGGATAACAACCTTTGTCATTTTCTATAGAGAAAGGCTTACCTACACAATAAGGCTGGAGTGTGGGCGTTCCCGGTATCTCTTAAATTTGGTAACTGTAGCTATTACGAGGCCCAGTACAATCAGAGTCACGGCAGCAGTTCATTCGGTACTCTTACCCAACCTTGTCCTCCGGTCACACTTAGGTGATCGAAACGAGGAGAGGAGTGGACGTGAGCCGTACCCCTTCGTCGATACAAATCTACTATAATTGTAGATTTGTGAGACATTAGCTGTAGTTTAATTCGAAGACTCGTTAATCTACGAATCTACAGTTCTTTCAGTAGGTTATCCACTGATAATATTCAGATAACTCAATATTATGCAGACTCCATAAAGACTAATGAAAGGCATGTTTGATTCAATATTTCGTTCTTTATTCAGAACATATTCAGAACATCTTCATTCCTGAAGATGTTCTGAATAAAGAACGAAATATTGAATCAAACATGCCTTTCATTAGTCTTTATGGAGTCTGCATAATATTGAGTTACAGTTCTTTCATTACGTACAACTGTGGATTTGTAACGTATCCTACAGATAATTGTGACAACAATGTACGCTGTAGATTCGCAACTTATGCATCCACAGTTCGCTGTAGATTCATAAAAATAATCTACACTTTGAACAAAGTAGTGACGTCACAGAAATAGTTTTTAAAAGGGTTTCTTCTAGGGTTCGCACAACGTTACAGCGTCAATACTTTACTTTCATGTGGCTAAGTTATAACTTGTAGCTGGGTACTCTTGAAAGATGGCATTTTGCTTTAAAATGTGTACGCAAAGAAATTCCTGCGGTTTTCATGCAATATTCATTTCCCTGCCGCAAGGAGAGTTATCCTCGACACCCGCGCGAAAATCCTCCATTCATACTGATGAGTGGATCAAATTGCATTCTTGTGATCGCCAATTTGGATTAGCCTTGGGGAAGCTGACACAAGATGATTGCCGCTTGAGAGCTGTTTAATGGTAGAGTCTTACATGCCCCAGATTACCGTGCGCATGCGATGAGCGTTTGTCGGGGCATGACATCTCCAGACACAGATTTCTGTTGAAATGGGTAGCTTCACTGTAAAACTCAAGCGTTGATTTGAATTTCATTGGCAGTAAAGACTATTGTCGGGAAGTAATGGAATTCACGTTTTAAGCCGCTATAAACATGTCCGGACAATAAACATTCTATATGTTCTACACGTCTAAACGCACCGCGTGTTCAAAGTTTAATGTGTTTGGTTTTATAAACACGTCAAACGTTCTGGGGTTTTATAGCGTGCATGTTGTATATTGCAGGATATTTGTTGGAACCGTCGGAATGAGCAGAAACCTCTGCCACCCCACCATCACCACCATATCGACAACAGCACCAATTTAGAACGACGTTTGGTCGAAGCAAACGCCTCGAGAATTGAGTGAATATTCTATGACGTCTGCATTGAACGAGTGGTTCGATGTTATAGGCCTACCCCACTCCGTGTTTGTATACCACAGCAGTGCATAAGCTTCGTCCCTAGACCTATCGAACAGTCAAGTTGTGCCGAGAGGCGTGGCGTGGACCCAATTTGTAGGAGGGGCATTTTGTGCGTCCTCATTTTCTGCAGGGGCACCTAGTGAATTGGACACAGTCATTGTACTGAAAAAAGGGGTCTTCCTCGACCAGATTCTTGGCGTGGACGTAAGGAGACACCGCTACGCAACTGGTGTCCGGCACTCTCCCTAACCCTACGGTCTAGAGCTCAGGGGTTCCAATGTGCAAAACCCGATAGGTTGTGTACCTTGGGCAAGGTACGCAAGCTGATTGCAATTGCCTGTTTCCACTTGGGCAAGTGATAACAGATTGCGCTGATCTCGAGTTGTTGCAGAAAGCTGGTCTCATGGACCTGCGGACAAGGCTAGTAACCGTGAAGCACTTGGAGACCTCCACAGAGATATAATACGCTGCATAAGCATCCCATATTCTTGCAATGTTTAATAAATTTCTATGGGTGAGAATCTTGTTCCAGATCTTTATTTAAAAAAAAAAGAATTTACAGGTAGGCCCTGAATATCAGCAATCTTTAATTGATACGTTGATAGGCATCCATTCGGGGATGGTTGTTGCCGGGGTGGTCGGCCTCAAGATGCCCCGGTACTGCCTCTTCGGTGACACCGTGAACACTGCCTCCCGCATGGAGTCCACGGGGGAAGCCATGCGGATCCACCTCAGCGAGTCGACGCGGGCGTACCTGAACCGATGGACGTTCTACATCCTGCTAGAGCGGCCGATGAAGACAGAAGTCAAGGTGACAAGTTTATTTCTCTTCAAAATGCACACTTCTCAGCCTGCCACAACCTCCTATATCTGAGGACTGCGTTTCAGTTCATACGCAAACGCCAATTGTTGCCAACGTTTCCGAACCATATGGGTCATTCTATAAAGTTGGAGTTGAAATTTTTTCGTGTCCGTGTCACATCTGACAATGTCATATGATTTCACAAGTTCAGAACATTTTTAGGCGCCCAAAACAGAAGTACCAGGATCAAGTAGGAAGTAGCTTTAAGATTCTGGAATTTAAGATCACTAACTCACAACTTCCTAATAGTTTCAGTCTCTGGCGTGAAGTTCAGTGTGTGTTTCAAACTGCAAAATCTCTGATATTGTGAAACGTAAAACACGAGAAATACTGCAGCAGCAAGCATGCTAGACCCTGAGCCGCGCGCCGCAATGTGCCCGTAAACCAACCACTATATTGCAGTACTAAGGTGTAGTTTTGTGTTATGGGGGAAGGTAGGATGCCTGAATTGAGTCGTGACATACAGGCTGTTAACTGCATGTACAATTACAGGGCTGCTGGCATGTGTTGGACACTTAAGTGTTCCCGGCGCCATAAGTGACCTCATTTTGATGCCAAGAAGGTTTTCGATTGACTTATGATCCGTTTATTGCCCTGTAAAGCCCCGGGCGAAGTTTGAACCCATTCAGAAAATTACTCCCGCCACCGCACTCTTGACAAAGGACCACTTCCCCTATCTTTGCGTGTCTCCTCATCCATTCACCTTCATCCATTCGGTTATTTAACTCCTATTTTAAATATCTCCAGGGCAAAGGTCAGATGAAGACGTACTTCTTGATGGGCAAAGAGGCTGTGGACGAGTTGGACCTGCCCTTCAATCTGTCAGAAGAAGATGCCCTGAACGCCTCCAGGAGTTCGCTCAACTCCTCGACAGAGTCACTCAGAAGGTAAATGTGAACCAGGACGCTCAGGGCCTGTTTGTTTCACGGGGATCTGGATCTTGATCAGTGATCCCAACGCTGGTTCGCCCTGTCCAGTACGCAGGTCCTGGAACATGTCAGTGAACCAACATCGGGTCACTGATCGCGATCCGGATCCGAAAGAAACCGGGCCCTCAAATCTGCGATTGACGAACTCCATTTAATTACTGGCTTACCACATAATACACGACAGATCTAGAAACGATACCATGTCCATGCCTGAAGCTTCTATTCGCCTTGAGCAGAGGCACCCCCTCATCGGTTGAAAAGAGCCACGTTGGTCGTGAGTGTTCAATTTGTTGGCAGCGATTTTACCACGTGCATTTCCTTGTCGTTATTGAACCAGCGAAGTTCAGTTCAGTTCCTACCAAAGAAGCCTCTATTACTGAGAAAATAGCGCCCTCCCTTGGTACAGCTCGAGGCCCATAGGCTTATAGCAGGAGACGCCATCACTGCAGTAGCAATATAGCACGCATGGACTACATTAATTTAGACACGTTTGCTTCAAACAGACTGAGGAATATGCTGCTCGCATACGACATAATTACGAGCATTGGCGTGTATCAAAACCACCAGACGTTCGCGCGTATACAACTATGTGATATGGTTTGTTTTACGCACGTTTATTTATAAGGTAAAAATATCTAAATGTCTTTTCTAGGTTATGTAGTTAATTGAGACGTATTTACGGTGTACGTTGCCCATTTTCAGCTTTCCCTCATTCTGCCGTTTTCTAAACATTTATACTTTATTTCTGTGTGACCATTCCCAGACTCCTGAAAGTCAAGTAATGAATGGTACGTACTGACAAGTCTTCAATGTTTTGACTGCCAATCATTGTGTAGAACCAGGACTTACCCTTTTCAAGCTTTTCCGGAGCTGCTCAAACCAGTCTTATCCAGTTTAAACCAGTTCCAAGTAACAAGCAGGGACTCAACAGTTTTGTCTTTCCACCCCGCTTCTGTGTTCCTTCATTTTCCGTAAACTCGAGATAACCCCTCTCGCTTAGAACGATTCACCATTCCACTCCAAACCCTTTCAATTATCGCCCTGCTGTTCTACATTTCTTCTATTTGTTGTTTCATTTTCCCATTTTGCTCAAGCAATACAAATAGCACCTTACTATTATCACTCTGCAGTTCCTACAAATTTTGCTTCCAGCGCATTATTTCTGATTCATGTGGCCTCTTTAGACCGCCATTAAATCCTAAGTTTGCAAATTGTATCCGTCCACAAAACTTTGAAGGTCAAATATTAGTTCCGGTAACGTCTCATTCTTTGGAAACGCGTTTTTAATGTGGCCAACTCTGGCGAAGCCTGACATTCGTCATTTAATACCCTGTACTTAAGTTTAAAAAGTTCCTTTGGACAATTTGTCTGTTACTCTGATCGATGTGTGCTATTTGTAAAATGTTTCATACATGGGGGCTTTATAAAGTGTACAGTAACTTTGACAAAAGGTTTAATTAAAAAGTGTTTTGCTTTCAATTTTGATGTGAAAAGGTGTCGTATATTGGTAGGAATTGTGCAGTACTCTATTTTGTAGAACTTTCTGAGATGTCACAGTGAAAGATAAATATTCCCCGATTCTTATACACGTTGCAAAATCTGTGTTTTTGGTTTGCCTCAGCAAACTTTCGGTGTTTCTAGAGATGGGTCACGAGTACCAGTGCGTTTCCTTCTGTACTTTTCTTTCCTCCCTCTATCTGTATTGATGGCAAAGGTTTTAGTTCCTTATTTGTGTATTTTTGTTGCAGTGCAATTAGTAGATCCTTCGAGGCTGCAGGTCACAGGTCACTCATGTCGCCAAACTACACTCCTGTCAACTTGGAGGGCAACGACCGGCCACGCTCCGCCCTCACCGGCATGGTGGAGAAGGACACCCTGGACGCGCCGAAACCCCATGGGCCGCCCAGGCGCGCGGAAGGCGGCGGCGCCGCCTCGCCTAAGTCGCAGGAGGGCCGGGTCAAGGAGGGCACCGCCCTCAACGTCAACAACTCGCGCGGCAGCTCCGACGTCACGCACGACGTGCCGCTGCTGCGGATCAAGGACGGCATGAGGGCGCCCCTCATCGAGGGCAAGGTGAACAATAAGCTCTTCGACGGGAGCAAGAACCAGGCTAATCTGGATCCGCAGGGGAAGGTGCCCACCAACAACAACGTGGCTAACGAGACGGGCGGCCAGAACGACTGCAAGTCCAACGTAAGGAAGGGGGTCGTGTCACCCAACTCCAGCACGACGAACGCGCACGTGCAGCATAGCACAACATGCGTCCTTATCTAGGAAAAGCGCCGTCATCAGTAAAATTCCAAGTTGGAGAATTTTTGAAGGAAAGGTTTGTAACCGACGAAGCAAAGTCAGTTTCTTCACATACATGCGTGGTACCTCTTCATGAAATCACACCATCTATGGTTGACGTGGAAGAAAACATGTCATTTAACATGGACGTATTCAGTGCAGCCGTATCCTCCTCTTCCAATCTTTATTCTCTTTTCTGGTAATGACCTTTGATATGCAAGACGCTACTTGCTTAAGTTCCAGTTATATGCCCTTCAAAATTCAGTAGGTAGCAAGCAAGAGGAATCCTTAAAGGGTATAAAAAAATGATAAACCTTGGAAAATCCGGCCAGTCTAGTTTTTAACGAAAATTCTGGCACTTTACTGAGCAATGAGCCCCCTTCCAAGGTCCTTCATTGCCTGTTTCTATGCTGCGTATTTTGGTGTAGGACCTACCATCATCTGGTATGCATTGCCTTTTGACACTTTGCCCCGTTTAAACCGAAATTTGCAGTAACAAATTAGTATTCAATAAAATGTATTCCCAAATTGAGTACTGCGAAAAAAATCGGTCAAATGGTGCTCCTCTGTTGAAGCGAATATGTAGCTTTCTTTGTTTGGCAATGCTGTCTGTGTTATCCACATTACGAAAGTTGAAATTCGTGTCTTGAATTGTATATTGGTCCTGCAGGCCTATAGACCCAAAGGAGCTTAGATTGTGCACGCGTTTCATTGGTCCATGCACGTGTACTCTTCTGTCTAGCCATCCATTCGCAAGTGAAATAGTCTGGTGGCCAGAATTTTTATGATAATTTTTTGGCATCGATCATGAGAGGCTGGAGCTACACTACTTCCTGGCTGGTTCGCGTGCCTTGTTCGGTCGTGTCTGAATTATTTGGCTGTGGCTTGCAATTTCTCGCAAGTCTATGGCTGTGGCTGCAGCCACCTCCCATAGAGTGACGTGTAATTTCAAGTCACAGCCAAGTAATTCAAACACGACTTTACCGTCTTAGCCGTCGTTCAAATGCTTTCGGGAAATGCTTGTTTGGCGTTCAACCGCGAACAGAAAACACTGATTACCAGCACTGGTGGCATGTCAGAGTATTTTCGTGCCAAGTAAACGGCCCAGATTGACCACAATGTTTCGTATTGATGGGAGAGCTCACGTGTGCTAGGTCAATACTGGTGTCTTATGATGGTGAATTTATGTGACGAGAGACCGTGTAAGTTTCAGAACATTTTGGAACGCATTTAAGGTATCTGACATGTGGACCGTCCAATTAGCTTTCTTGGTATAGGTACCTCATAGTTGACCAAGAGCTCTGAGATTTGGAGAGGGTTCTTCAGTATATGCACAACTACACTGAGAACTGGCTTAGTACACTGCCAATGGCCTTTCCTTGAGTTATATGTCTCAGTAGTCGGTAATCCGGAAAAAGTCCTCTCCGTGCCGGTTATGGACAAAAGTATTACGTCATCCTCACGGGGCTGGTCCCCTTAACTCGCACGATGTGCCTTCTGTCCGGTGGGCGTTTCCCCGGGAGCTTACTTTCAAAACAAATGGGGCGTGGCAGATGTATGAAGAGAATACTGACATTGACATCTTACGTAAGCCTTTTTTATTCAGGGCATTTCCATTAACGGAGGCAGGGACGTACCAGTAGCGTTTTGCTTCTGCCGTCAAGACGAACAAAGCCTGGAAATTTCCTCAGGCACTGTCGCGATTGCATACGAAGATATGCTTTTTAAAGAACTCACGCTGAACAGTATCGTCTTGGAAATTGATAATGCTGGTTATAATTGCAGCGTGACGGTACCGTCAGTATTCTGTTCATTACCCTCTGGAGCATACTTCGGAAGTGGTTGAGGTCGTTCATTGCCAAAATGGTAATGCGAAGGCATCACTGTGACTTATTGCCACTGTAGTTGGTATCTATGGCAACCGGTGTAAGCCGGCGGATTCCATTCCTTGAAGGAGGGGTTGAACTTAAGGCAGCTTAGGACGTTTCCCAATCTTGGCTCTGTCTCCATCTGAAGCTCTGGCTCGGAAATCGAAACCTATTGAGGCCTACACTTACCAATGAGGGACTTTGAGACGCCGGTGGCAATATACTGGTCCTTTTTCACAGTATCGCGTGTGTCCAGAACAACGCGCGCATGCTCAGAACTACTACAAAGGACCAGTATGTTATAATTGCGTTATGATACCATTACGTTATGATACCAAAGCTGGAAATTGATGTTTCAAATGCTAAAGCATTTCTAGCCATTCCACTTGATGGAGAGCTCATTGGAGGGGGCCATACGATTTGAATTCTCGGTTTGGGGGTCAGGATTAATTTGACAAAATGACAATTGCCTGTTGTGTTTCATCCGGAGCGGAAATCTTCAGACATGTTGTACCTAGGAGAACTTGCATCCAATTTAATGAGCCAGGTGCGTATTTCAAAAAGCCAAGGTCTTTTGGGAACAAAACGCGCGCGCCAGTCGGTGTATGGCTATGCTGATAGGACAGACTTTCACGCACGCGCGTAGCTGTTCCCAAATAGCCTTGTAATGAGCATGTGCCATTGGAATACGGAACTGGCTCATTTGATTTGATTTGTTTTGCAATGGCGGATCGAACAGTTCTTACAATACTTGGTTTCTGAGGTAGGAAGTATGCATCGATGATATTCAGTCTAAAAGAAAAAAGTACTTTGCAAATAAATAAGTGATTCTATTACCGAGAGGCAGTATTTTGTCAATAACGTATTTTAATCTAAATGAAGGTGTGTTGTAGGGTTTAAATTCTGTTTCGTAGATTTTACAAATCAGAATCGTCATTATGAAATTAGTAATGGTGATTTGTAAGTTGGATGCTGTAAATTGTATTTGACTAAATTGTAAATATTGTTCACATCTGGTGTAAATTTCCTAGAAACGGGTACCCAGACTTCTATTTCAATTTTAAATGCTGAGGTAGTTGTGACTCGAGGTTCCCCTCGATTTATCCGAATTTTATCGGATGCTTTTTACAGTCCTGCGGCGTCCATATTGACATGTCCCCTGACTGCGCCCTTCTAAAAATAAAGCAACCGAAATCATTGTCCCCCGCAGGGTCGAGACTGTTTGCTTCGCTTGCCTACAAAACAATGGACGGGGGAAATGTTCCGAAGTCAGAAAAGTGTGTGTTGCTTGTATTAGTCTTTTTAAAGGAAGATAATGTCGTTTTGAAAATATTTTATTTTATCAACAATGTATATGAATACGACAGTGGTCTAACATATAACGCTGTGCAGGAAATTAATGCCTTGTTTCAAATCAACATTCAAACGTGGGTTTATTCTCACAGTCATAGTTCCTGTGGCTGTCTGCTTACCTTAACCCTAACAGTCCTCAGTCCTCCAACAGGTGAAGGATTGAGGACTGTTAGGGTTAAACTGTGAACACTTCTTGTGGCATTGCTTTTTATACGTTTCCCTTTTTTATTTCATTATTTAAGACTTTTTTGGTAGGGGTGTAATATTGGGTTGATGTGCATTCAGTGCTACATTTGGACCTTTTGTCGGTTTTACGCTATCGTTTACCACACGGACAGACCTTTCGATGGACGGACCTGTCAATCGAGCATGTTGGCAGAGATAGAGAGTGAAAGAGAATTCGAGTTGAGTGTGGAAACTATGAATTGAATGTACTAGGAAGTCATCTATTCAGTCAGAGAGGTTTTTATCCTTTTCCAACTTTGTAAATGTGTAAAGGATTTCTGGACATTTTGGGATACAAATAGCTTGTTTGAAATGTCGATATCTATTTTTATGTCAACTGTTCGTGGCAAAGAAAGCATAGCAGAATGTTACGACCTGTTTTCAGACAACCAAATGCACAGGGTCCTAATCAGGAAATGGTGAGTCGGTATTCAATTCATCACAACATTGGTAGATCATGTCATGGAACGAACAAGTCAAAGAGCATGTCTGTAGTAAAGTCCACAAATATCTCTCCACCTTTGCTTTATTATTTGCAAATAGGTATCACCAACACGTCATTTGCTGCTAGATGGTCAGAAGACGGTTAAAGGAAGAATAGGTTGGAGTTGCTAGCAGGAAATGAAAACTCCGTGAAAAAAAGAGAAACAAAACCTTGAGGAATAAGAGTTCCATTTGCGGGTATTGAAGATCATCATTGGTGTTGTTGCCTGCAATTTGCACTGTCAGTAACTCTCTTTTCTGGAGTTTATTTGCGCTTTTGATAGTTTTGGTCTTGTGATAATGCATGGCAAGACACTGTGACTGGAAACAGAAAGAAAGATTAGTAGTAATAATTGCAGATGTTTTACATTAAAATGCTATTTATTTTTCACTTCCATCACCATCGCACAATCTTATTTTGGAAAGATAATACTTATAGGTCCTGAAAAGTCCTACGTAAGTCATCATTCTATAAATTTACACGTAATTGAAATAAAGATTATTTTGAAGTCAAATACGTGTAGTCTGGTGCTGGTTTTGTAAAGTTCTAGGATGGATCTAGAACCAAAGTCTGGGATTACCAGAATGTTCTTGGGAGGCACGATATATCCTAGATCCTCGTATGGCCTTTCAGTGAGGGGGTGTGGCTAAATGTGGAGGCTTTTACCTACTTTTGATTAGTGGAAAAAGTGCCCAATTTTTTTCTCTATTTTTTAAAAACCTTTCTCTAGTTATCACCCGAACCCTGTCTGAATTATGTGCTTTTTAGAAGCAAAGATTCACTTGCACCAACAGACATGGGTAACGTTTGTGATTTTTCAAGCCATCAAGAACCCACAGGTTTTTCGGGGAAAAAATGTGTACAGGATTCAATTTATTGCATTTACTTGCATGACGGCTACAGGTAAGAGCTACACATTATTTTCTCTCAATTTGTTTTAATTTTTAAAACTTGGCGATGGTGGACTCTCTTTACAAAACTGGTCATCTACACAACAAAACGATAAACTAATACGACTTAAATAAAGTGAGACTTGTTTTTTGCTTTAACTCTGTGGCTCTCTGATAGCACAGAGAGAACTATATACACAGATGGATGCGATCAATGTTAATTTAACTACTTTGTCATTTTATCGTTGTCACTGTTGTTTTTGCCTCTGTATATGTCTGATTGTGCCGATCTCGAAATTAGGTATCTGAGTTGAAATCTGATCGGTTTTTAAGTTTCCGAGTGCAAAAGACTTTACATGAAGTTCCATTTTGATCTTGAACATGTGTGAGGAAAGAAATCATTTTAGAATTAGCTACAACTTACAAGGAACTATAGCCCTTTTAGGCGTGCACGTATATATTACATTATGTATAAATAGATGAAATGCTACATTAAGTCATGGTATCACAGCAGAAATGGTGGTGTTAATTAAACACCGGTGTTATTCGTCTGAGTAACGGATGAAAAAAAATAACACATGCGTCTGTGGGCAATGGAGAAAGCCACCTTACTCGGGTGCTCCCATAGCCAAATATAAAAATTATTTGAAAATTACCTTTGTTGGATCGCCAGCCTCGCTATTATGCTGTGAAATCACACCAACCGCCAAACCCACCATCTTATAGACACAACACTCAAAATGCCTTGGTTTTTAATGATCTTGCCACCTGAATTTCAAAGAGTAGTGGCCAATGGATATTCCGGTCCAAAAACATGGAGCGCAATTTACAGCTAAAGACGTAGCATTTCCACAGAAGGCGTTACATTCTGTTAACAATACAGCAGGTTTTTAAATTCACCATGGCAAAAAGTGATCCTTCATCTATTCTCTGAATGTCGCTCAGGCTTCTACGTCACAATTCTATGCACCCCCCTTCATAGTACAATACTGTGCAAATGCTCCTTTCTGCAAATTAGGTTATTGAAACATATTTCTGTTGCCTACGGTGGCATCCAATGTCCATATCATTTTGAATAATTTTTTTTTTTATTTTTTAGAGCTTGTCTTCTTCGTCCTTCTCGTTCACCATATAAAACTGTTCTTTGTCCTCTGCTGGAGGCGGGACGACAGCAGGCCGGGTGCCAATGACGCAGCAGACTAACAAAAGAGAAATTGTCTACAATGGAAAGCAAAAGAGAATTGCAAACCAATAAGAAAAGTTACAGATCTTGTTGTGATTTTGGTATCGTCGTCGTCCAAGAAGCTTCAAGTTATTGCTAATTTGGAAGTTTTATGTAATCCACCCCAGTGGTTGCAAGTAAAAAAAGATATAAACCTACTCAAAGAAAAAATACGGCTCGACTCGTGCTCGGCTGCCTGGCATTTGGCAAAATTGGCCGAATTTCATTAGTCATGCATCATTCATTATGCATATCACAGAATCTGATGGCCAATCAAATCCAGGAAAGCTCAAAACAGTTATAAATAATTCATAGTGTTGCATAATGCATAAACATACCTCCAGAGAAACCATAATGAGTGAAATCAAGCCCAGCATTGTCATATTGCCTGACTGGAAATTGGCAATCCCATCGCCGCAGCCCTAAAACAAAAACAAAAACTGTGTCCAACACTTCCAAACCACATTGATGTATTATCAGTTATCATCATGAAAATTATAACAATACACGCATAATTTACGAACAATGTAGATATTCCACGTCAGAAGTGACCGTGACTACCAAAGCTTTCTGCGGACAACACTTTTACTTTGAATCGCTTTGAACCATTAAAACCGCCTGCGGGAGAGAAGTGTTGATAATCATTAGAATGTTTAACAATAGGCCTATATTCAATCGGCTACAAAATATGAACGTAGTGCCTTTGTTTGGATCAAGTTACGACCACGGATTGACAGCCATTGGTTGGCAATCCAGGGTGGTACCAAAATTGGCTTGAATATATAGAGGCTCTGCGTGGTACCCTTCTTACGGGGTAGTGTTTTGTTTTTGGTTCAAAATGGTGTGCACAAACGGGGTGTCTCTGTGGAACAAAAGAAGTGCCCCACAAGATGGCTACCACCCAAAGCCTCTATAGCACCTGTCAGACGAATTAGGCCGACTCACTGCACTAAAGACAAGTCCCAGGTTGTCAGGACGCCCCGGTTGTCCGCTGTTGCACCCGGCCAGGTCGACGTTTACACAGCACGAGACCGGCACGGCCAGGTTGGCATTCTCGGGCAGGGTTGTGAAGTAACTGTCGGCCCAGTCTTTCGGGCCTGCTTCTCCACAGCACTTTTGCTGTTGGTGGATTTCATCATAACCTGTGTCCACAATGTTGCCTTTGCCGTACTCATTCTTGATCAGTTCTCTCATGTTCGACTTCACGGTCTCCATGGCCTGCCATAAAATGGAATTCTGAATGGCTCGTGTGTCCATGTGGTGGACCGTCTCTTATTACTGATGGAATGACACTGATGCAGTTACATGAAGGATATTGCAAAATGAATTGAAGAATGAGGAAGAAGTACCGTGTTTGGTCCTCATTTATTCATAGAGGTACCTCAAACCATGGTTGTATTGTACAGTAGAGACCTCAATCATGGGGCAGCCATATTGTTTTTCTACCATTCAAAGCAATCGAACCAAACTGAGGCTGGAAGGCAAAAATAGTCTGTTCCCTTTTCCTGATATAGTGAAGTTGTATTTTTATGCCCAAATGTGCTACAGGGAACAAGACAAACATGAGAGCATCACAATAAAGGTCTATGCACATGGACTAAACATTCAGATGACTTCTTTATTCCCGACTCACGACGACGCAAATTTAATTCCTCAGCCTAAAATAGTGGATCCCATATGGCTGAGTTTCAGCCAACCAGGACAACGAACCGGCAAGATGTGTTTTATAAAACTGTTTACCTTTGTTCAGTTTACAGCCTAAAAACGGGATTTTCAGGCAAACTCGTTACCCTGATTACCTCTGTCGGTCATGTCATCCTGTGTTATAAAACGTCAACTGAAGTGCGTTTTGGGTATGTATTTGTACAGGGCTGTATATACAGGGAGTAGCGCCAACTTCACTCTTTGGAACCAAATGGCTGTTCATTATGTTTGCAGTAAAGCATGCATCTATTTTGTGCTAATTTTCCACGTGCAGTGATGCATACTCCTCCATTTTGGTTCCAGCAATTAAGACACTCATGTCGCAACACTCTCTATAAACCGCTCTGTATTTGCATTAACTCAGTCACCTACCTGTTCTCTACCGAGAAGTGTCAAGACACCAGTTGCAAATCCTCCTAGCATGATCAACAGCATGAAAACAAAATACTGGAATTCAAAAGAAAAACATATTTCCAACATAAATTCTGGATGCTATTATTATTGGCATGTGATAGGTAGGCAACTGTATTATGGGCTGGCATGCATCTCTACGTAAGGACAAACGGGCCTTTGTCACCTCAACCCCAAAAATGGAGGGACTTAAATTCAAACAGAAGGACTTCGTTTTGTTACTTTTCCCTTCTTCCCTTTTCCTGGCTGACCCTAGTATGTCGTACAGTGAAATGAGCAAAACACGTACCACTTTCATCCACAGAACGCTCTCTCGTACGCAAGCCCAGACGCCGTTGAACCCGACTAGGAACACCAGACAGCCTAAGCCAATCAGGACCCAGCAGCCAATGGCCAACTCGCTCTCACTGGTCGAGTACACGAAGGAGAACACGGACAGATTCTGCAAAAGGAAGCCTCCCACGGCGATCAGGATAAGCCCAAATATCTGTCAGGAGAAAGAGACTGCAATGTATGGATGGCACTCGATGACGTCATCAACCCCCCCCCCTGTCAGAATCCGATAAATTCTAACTCGGTGTGAGTTCGATTTTAATGCACTTTCAGGCTAGAAGGAATCGCTGAACATGGAGGAAGCTCTAGGTTCGAACGAGCTATGGAAATTAGTGCATGTTCCTATTCCTATGCGTGCGCTGGTTTGTTTTCGCATGTCTGTTATGTTATGTTGCGCTCTGTTCTGCTCCATCTTATTTTGCATTTGTCCTTTTGTTCAATTCGTTGGGCTTCGGAGGATCCGATTTTCTTTTGTGTTTGGTTTGGTTTGGTTTTGTTACTTCACTTCACTCGCTGGAGTGGTCAGAGCGAAACGGTTTATCAGTTTTAAAGGCAACCAAAACGATTCAGAATTTTGTCTCGGGAAAGGAAATATGCTTACCCACACGGCGAAATTTACAAACAGATAGAAAACCCTAGCCCATTTGCCGAGGGCGTTAACGTCCTTCTTGACCATGGCCATCCCAGCTGTTGCGGAGGGAGTCCACGCTGAAAAGGGTTCGACGGAAAGATCATGGAATGAAAAAAGGACCAAACAAGACAAAAGAATTGAGTTTGGTGAAGTGATGTTTATTTCTTTGTAATAAAGCGTCTAAGCCGATTATAGAACTGGTTCAACTATTTCTCGTACGTTCGGTTTCAAATTCCTCAGTTGTTGGCGTTTAGATGTCGCTTTGTATAAGATACTGAGTGTAACAAACATACAAAATCCAACCTGCACGTTCATATTCATTACTCACCGCTGCATGCAAGGAGCTTAACAGATCAGTTCTAACCCTCTGATTCTTGAAACAAGTCAGGAATTTACGCTACCGGTACCTTGCACTAGCTGGATGTTATGTGCAATGCACGCATATTCCAAAAATACCTGAACACCGGTCTCAATACTGCCTCGATCCACGCCAAGCCGCGGCGAACGGAACCAGCCTAAAAAGGTCACTTCAACGTTGGACTTTTAACTTCAGACAACCCGAGTGATTGGGACACGGTCGATTGGCCATTATATCGGGTGCTAACTCGTATTAAACGACGGGATAATTGAAATGGAGTGGTGTTTGGGTAGATATAACTAGCAAGACGATGTGTCGACCGTGCAAAGTCCACCGTAATCCCACCCACTTGGCTGACATGTTTTGGGAAGAATACTGAACCGTGAAGCAGCCTAGTAGTATTTTCGTGGTCAAAGTTTGACAAGATTGCCAAAACTGAGCATTACCACCATATGAGTGGCAGGACCAGAAACACACGATCCGATTTAAAGTTAGCAGAAGGTCCTAAGGCACTTGTCCCCATACAAAAGCGAAGTACGTAGCTATGTTTCCCCACAAGCACTTTATACATATTTATATACTTTTTATACATGTTACAAAACTGATTTCACAGAAAGGAGAATCGTTCCGTGGTAATATTCATTTTTAACAATATTCCAATTCCTCCATCGTAAAACAGTACCGTTCTTTTTTGGCAACAGGATCCTTACTAATTACACATTTTAATAATTTGTCTCAGGTGACGAGTCAGGTGTCTCTGACGATACCCGAGCGTTTTATATCATCAGTTTGATGCATTACACAGGCGTTTGCCGAAATGGATGACAAGTTCAATTCAACAACGCAATCTAATGATGGGTTTCTTCTATATCGCAGTATACACTCGAATTACCACAACACAAGGTTGGAAAAAGGGTCGTTTACTTTTCAAACTTGACGGGTTGGTTAAGCAAAATCAGGCATCGACCTACGATGCTAATCAAAACGTAGGAGAGGGCAGTTCAGTTTGCAAGCCCTTTGGCTGATTTTGCCACTTTCTCCAAGTTTCTTTTCAAGTACTTCTTAAAAGAATGTGTTCATTCAAAATACTTCGATACTGCAATTGGATAATTAGTGAAAGATAAAAGACTGTTAACTTACGAAAAAAAAACTCCGAATAGAAAAGTGTAACCCTCTATCAATCGGTGTGCAGGTCAAAAAGACTCAAAAAGCAAATAACCTCCGGCACAACTCGTTAAATTTAACGTCGAGGTCAAAGGGTAAGCAGGTCGTGACAAGGATTGTTTTTCGCCTGCTTGGCGATGTGGTATAATGTAAGCTGTTGTTTATAATATTCAAAAAAGCTAAAAACGCAGAGTTATATGGCAGGGTCGGTCTGAAGACGACGCTCTTCACGTCACCCACGAGAGCCAATGAAAGGCCTTTTAGCGAATGTTGATAGCTATGCAGAGCTGTAACAAGAGAGGGTAGCGACAAGTGTAGACTTTGAAACCAAAATGGCTATTCATTATGCATACGGTAGAGCATGCAGCTATGGGCAAATTTCGATAAAGGACCATACTTAACCATACTTCGACTAACTCTGACCAAATGCACACTAGTCGACCATAGTTGGAATCACGACGCCCCACCCCCACGAAAAATTGTAGCCCCCCCGTCGCAACCTCCCCTCTTGCATATCCTTATGTGATCATGATTATGTATATGTATGTCTGAAATCAAGTCAGCCCCCTCCCCAAACTTCCGCCCACTTCCAGTTTCTAGCCCCCTGCTCGCCCCCAGTGCTCAGAATCCTGGCTATGCCGCTGGTTGGACTAGTACAGTGACCTATTTGCCCTATCGAGGCATCATCGTTTGTTACCATAAAACCGTTTTTAATAGCACGGTGCAAAAAAGAAAAATGCCGGAAAAACAGTATGTCATCACTAGTAAACGACCAGTCACTGTAACTTTTGCTATCTTGCCCTTCCTGCGGCCACCTCTTCTCCCCCTCGGCCTAATGGCCTGCACCGGTTGACAGTAGAGTCGTTTGCACTTCAACTTCAGACTGGTGCTCATGTGCTAGGTACGTCACGAATCAGCCTTGATCTAATTTGCCCTGTTGTGTGCTAATTGTCCATGTGCACCGACGCATAATCTACCATATTGGTTCCCAAAATTGACACACTCATGTCCCAACTCTCTCCATAAACAGCTCTGTATAGCTATGGTGTCAAAGGTACCTTCTTTCACACACAACTAATAAAAAACAAAAAAAAAGTTTGAGACACTCGGGTCGAGTTCGGGCGGCCTGTTCTTGACACGGGTTTCTTGTTCTCTCGCTCGAATGGTGGGAACGCGACTCAAGAGCACTGTTCCCGGAACAGGATCATTCAAATTATTGGATATCTTGGTCAATTTTGCATGAACGAATAAAGTGTGGTGAGAATATTTTCAGCAATGAGGAAGGAAAAGAGAAAAATTATCGAATTGATTACCACCGCTTTTGTCACGCATTGAGCGAGCTTGCGCGCCTGGCAGAAATCTACCCACAATTCTCTACGCGTCGCTAGCTGTGACCTCGTGTGGCGTATTTCCTTCACTAAAATCTATACAAGGCCATCAGTTCCCAGCAACCTGTTTGGGCGCTACGCGAAGACAGACTTCAGCAAACCTGAAATTTAGCCTACCGCAGAGGGCGCAGTTAAACTAGAGTCCGCAAAAAACTGTTTGATTCGTATATTCCGAATCAAATGGCCAAATATTTGCCACAATTTCATGAGCGTATTTCAATAGACACGGTTATTGGTACATTGATCCATTCAGCTGTTGTGTCATGCGAAAAGGTATTTTCAACTCCATTATCGGCCCCGCGAAGAGAAGCACCCCCTCGTCGGTGGAAAAGAACCTTGCTGGTCGGAAGTGTTCATGTTGTTGGTAGCGAAGCGATTGCAAAGCTTGCGTTTCATAGTCGCTTGTGAACCAGGGATGCGCAGTTACTACCAAGGGAGCCTCCGTTGATAGGAAAACTGCGCCCTCTCTTGGTCTGCCTTGGGGTCCATAATGTCATTCGTTTTTAAAGATGTGCTTCGAAGACAGTTATGTGAAAAGTAGTGAGATTGCAGACTATCAGCAGATAGCCACGAAGAAGAGCTGGTTGAAAAGATCAGATGTTAAAAGGCGTAGGAATGGTCAATAAGTAATAATATTTCTCTGAAAGGAATTGCAAAATCCACCAAGTCAGACTAAACCCCGCAATAAAAAGCCTTGTCAGGAATACCGACCTCCACATTTCATTTAATAAGAAGGGCTGAATAAGATACACATGGAGAGTGAATAACTTAAGACTCAGTAGAAATTAATTACTTTCTGTCAGACAGATTTGTCTGCCCTATGTATTTGTTCTGCATTATGTTCCCTGTTAATTTTGCATTCATCGCATACACTCGTCAGCACTTGCTTTTCATTCGGTTATCCCGGGTTGGCCTATTTTTTAGTATGACGTAGTTTTTTCTAGCTCCCATTGGACAGGGCATGATCGTTGCGCTCCGAATACATATGCATGTAATTGGGCAGCAGGCAACATAGAGTGAATGTTTTGCGCACCTGCTAGAGCCCATCGACGTACAACCTTCCCTAACTGTGTTTTTTTTACACAACTTGCTGGGGAAACCCAACTTGAATCAATTATTATGAAGGTCAAATTAGGGTTTTGGGGGATTTTTTTCAAAGGATAATTTTTATAATAAAGAAATACGCGTACGAGCCGTGGCAACGAAACAAGTCTGCCTTTAATAATTGCAAGTCAATTACACGGAAGGGCTGTGAAATTCCTGTACGTGTCTTGGGGCATGACCTACGTACGATTCCGTTGACTGGGTTTCCAGAAATTCCAGTTGAAATCTACCAACAGCTGAAGTTCCCATATTCAGCAGAAATCCTTCACACGAATGAAACATTAATCCTGGCTCTTCAGAAAGAAAGAGGCCAACATGAAAACTGTCCTGCAAGAAACCAGCAGAAATTTGTATCCTTACCAAAACCAAGCTACCGCTAAAATAGCTTACAAAATCGCTCTTCACTGGTTTCGACTAATCTATTGAGTTATTTTTCTGTTTACATGACGCTCTCCAGTGATCTTCGTCGGCGAGTTGAGTTAATTATTTACACAGGTCTACTGGGTTCTGGTATTGGAGTGGAGCCTCGTGTACTTTTATGGTCAATATTAATGTCACCGTATGCTCTGGACCATTATAGATCGGGGGCTGACGGTAACAACATGTTTGTTCAACACTTAGACAAGTGTGAGATGCGACACCGAACGGGAAAATCACACGTGCCTGGAAAAAATTACAGACTGTTAGAGCTCGAACCACGGCATAAATTATATTTAGGACTTTCCAGAGGAAATACATTCAGCGCAATCCACAATATTTTGAAACAAGTTGATGTCAAACACGTTACTGTGATATTTTTTTACCGATGTAACACTTGTTGTAGAAATCAAAATGCAACTCTTGCCAAAGTAGTACAAAATGCAATCGTTTGATTCGCAGTTTAAGGTAAAAGGGCCTATCTTTAGATCATACCTACATCATTCTATGTTTATATTGGCTACACATTCTCTGAAATTCCTTTATATTTTGGAAGAAGTGGATCAGGCACTCTCCACGAGTAATGACTTCAAGTTTGTAGATCGTCAGGCGCAACACCCTAAATTCTTGTCAGCTCCGTGAACAAATGTAGCCCTCTGGAGGGCTGGGCCGGCTGCTCCTGCTTCCATCGCTCTTCGGCTTTAGAGCGGCAACGGACAGACGGGAAATGATCCAGCAAGTTCTTCGGGGGCAAGTCCACTCCGTCAGCCGGTGGTGTCAGGCCGATAAAAGTACAGAAGGCTGCGTCCAGGAGTTCTGGCTACGGCTGGGCAAAGCAGCACGTTCACCCAATAGAAGCCAGTTGTAGACACATGCGTCGTAGCTCCCACCTAAAGCCAATCGGTTTGGTCACGGTGACACACTGCCCCCGGTTGGTTCACGTTGCCCTCATTAATTGGTACTCACTTAATTTTATTTAGCCTTGTGTTTAACATCACTGTTACCAGGAATTATACCCTGACGTCATTACAAGGAACAGCATGCGGAGCTTTTCGGTACGATGGACCATTTCAGATACAACTCTCACGTGCGCTTTAGTTTTGATGTTATGTTTGTTCCTTCCTCTTTCATTTCGGTGTTTAACCTTTACCCAATAAACCGTAAACTTGCCAATAGTCCCACGTCTTGATGCGCTTAGGGCAAATGGCTCGACAACCTTACACTATCCTGAAAAAAAAAACCGGAAATTTTATTCACAGGCTGCCTTTTTTCATCACCCAAGAAAAGCCTGTGTAAAATGCCTATTGATGTTATCCCGTTTCCGTTGGGAAGTTCGAGATCGTACACCGAGGGACTGATGCGCTAGTCTATGGGTGTCGTGGGGGTCAAGAAAAAAGGAAAAAAGAAAAAATAGAAAAGAAGGGAAAAAAGGAGGTGGAAAGAGGCAATTTTCCCTAGATTAACCTCCGAATCGACCCTGCCACCTTTGAGGGTTTATCAGTTTGCTGTTGATGAATACTATTCCCGCCACACCTCCATCTCGAACCCCCCCCCGCTATTAAATCGAACCATATGTCACGGCTGGGGAAAACAACGAACGTCCGAAGTCCGTCTCGTGATTGTGTTTCATCTGTTTGCATTATATCCCACGCGCTCAGTTATAGCAGTGGATATTATAATTATCTCTCGTACGCCGCATGCAACCGTGAGACCTATCTGAGCGTCAATTCCCCAGCCAGCAACATTTTCGGTTGAGCAATTACCAGGACACTTAGCATCACAGAGCGCAGTAACAGGTCGGTGCGCAGAGCCGTCTCCTTGTGGTAAGTGCGATTACTATACATTCTAACTCCTCCGTTTTCCTTTCCAAATTCGCGTGACTAGAATATTTAACTATCTCTTATTTTGTATTTTGGGGAAAAAAATAATACAGATCACAAGCATTATTTCAAAGTATTCTTGAGAGTGCCGTTTGGGGTATGTTATTTGCGAATCAATTATTTCCAAATGTAGTTTTCACGATTGATTCGTGCAATTCAATTTAATACTTTGATTTGATAACCAGGCAATATCAGGCTGCATGGACTTGGTAACAAAGGGGACCACCGTTTATTAATTGTTAATTCTCCTGATTCAGGTTTCTGGACAGATCCTGTTCTGAATAAAGCCCCCTTATCCCTAACAGTCCCAGATCATCCAATCTCAATACGATTTGACATACACCCTTGGAGGTTAGGGTTAGTTTTCTCCACCGTGAATTTTGAACAAAGCTCAACAAAAATAGCATGTCAACGTGGTGATTCAATGTAATCGATCGCGTTGTATTATCAGCGTTTGATGATGGATTACTGTACCATGCCGAGAAATGCTTCCAGCTGTTGATGCTTGAATCGAGACATTAACTGCACTGCTTGGTACACTGATTTAAAGATTTCCAAACGGATATTACTGTAGATCGACCAACATCAAAATAACGCGATCGAAACAGGGACCGAAACATTCGCGGTTCTTAGTTGTGAAGAACACTGCTTTGTTCAATGCTTAAAGAAGCTTTCCCTTCTTGAGAGTATGCGACTGAAGTCCGACTTTTACAAATAGTTCAAGCCCAGTTCTAACTTCCATTCCTTTGCCTTGGTGTGCAGAACCTGGGGATTCGATAGAAATTTTTCAGAAGAAAATATTTATTCTTGTTCAAAGTAGGCCCTACACAATCGGATTGTAGGCTACATTCATGCTCATTATTTTGTAAAAGGCGGGTTCTTCTGACAAACATGTAAATATTTTGACCATTCGAAGTTTTATTGTAGACTCAAGTGTTACAGTGAAATGTTACTGTCAAATGATGCCTGAGATTTGTAATTATCAACTGTTTAGTACTTTTCTAACAAATCTAGCCATGGTCTTAGCCTCGTATTAAAAAAAGCCTTTGTGGAAAAATAGATCGTGTCTGATAAGTTTTGCCCCGGCCATCCAGACAGTGTTTGCAGAGCAGAGAGGCAACTGTTTTCAAAAGGACCTATATCGAGGTTTGAAGTCGTTTCCCCCCTTTTTTCTCCGTAAGAGTGTTTCCGTTCAAGTGTTTCATAGTCTGCGTCTCTGTGTACATGATGGCTCGATGTACAAAGGGAATAGCAAATTTAGCAGAATAAAGACAACACAGGGTGCGCCTTTAATGCCGAACGATAAACTACCATCTGCTTGCGTACACGACACAAGTTTGCTTCCTGGTAAAATATGTGAACGATGGTAACATGTCCATCTGCATTATGCTGGTACACACACGTTGGTGTCTGTGTAAATTTGATGTCAAGTGAATCATTTCCCTTGGTAAGTCCTTGTATTCAGGAAATTTCTTTCGAATACCGCGGTTGCATTGTTTCCACGCCCATCTAATTACGGTAAGACCAGATGTATATTGGTCAGTTTCCAGTATGCTGTTTTTCTAGTTGGAATTTCGTTTACAATGCTTTCCTATTAATCAAGATGGGATCATCCAAATGTCTATATATCCTCATTTAAAGGAATAAATCGTTTTGCAGGCAAAAAGCCAAAGAACAAGTTAAGTTTATGTACTGAACTAAATAATAAAACCCAAATTATACTTTACAACTTTATACCAAAATGCTTTGACCCTTTGTGCAAAACCCATTTACCGAAATGATATTTATAGTTTACTAGCATAATTAATATATAACTTGTATTTCAGATCCATAAAACGTTGTGTGCGTATGTATGACTGGCTTCATTGCACAGAATTTCTTTTAAAAAACGGTTTCAATTTGATCTTTAAAGGAAATACTAATAAGGCATTAAAAGTTTAAATTATCTTTTTTAGATTAACCTGTCTCGCCGCACGACCATTTCCTTTCAAGTGATTTTGGTTTTTTGTTTCAGCAGAAAAATGAGTTATGACATTTTTGGATATGATTTGATTCATTTATTTTTACAGAGCACTTTGGTCTAGGACGACAGTTCCGTGTATACAACGATGTTCGTCTTGTCTTTTTTTCTCTTTTTTTTCTGATTTTTTCTCTCTCTCGATGGGCTACAAATAAGTATCACTGGTAATAATTGACGACGTTCTGACTAAAACTTTCGAACATGATTGAAATGTCAGACTCTTTGTCAGTTAATGTGTTTAATTGTTAATTTAACGGGAGCACATTCTTACATTCTTGTAAATACAGGACCCTGGTGTGGGATTATAGTGTGGATACAAAAGCAAGATGGCGCAAGGGTGCGGTGCCAAGACGTCTAAATTTATCCTTTTCGTGTTCAACGCCCTGGTCTGGGTGAGTACACTAGATTGGACCTAACTCAAGAAGAAGCCATTTTCAGTTGTATTCCCTGAATATATCTCATTATTGTGCTCTATTGAATGGCATGGTGCCAGACTACTTTTATGCTTTGAGGCTATTTTAAACCATCCTAGATTTCCCATAGGTGTGGCTTGGACCCTAAAGTATGTTTTATCGCAAAGTTTCATTTTTCATATTGTTTCTAGTTCATTTTTTTTAGCATTGGTGTTTATTTAGCTATACCCTGAATGGTCTGAGAAATTGCTACGTGGGCTACGTGTAAAATCTTTATGGTTTTATGAAATAAAGATTTTACTTTAAGGTGTTAATTTGTATCGTTGCTTTTATTTTCTGCTCTAAAGTTCCAAAATAAAGAGAGCTTAGTAGATGTTGTTTCAGTTTGTTAAACATTATATCAGTTTAAGAGTTACTTTTTAACTTCGACGTTTATTAAAAATATCAATTCTAGCATCTGGACTGGCAAATAGATCGACACATACGGCGAGACAGATCTACACAATAAAGAACTGTTACTAACCAAGTGTTCAATTTTCATTCAGGTGAACAGTGATCGCATGTACTCTAGGTTTACTGGAATAGGTCCTACAAGGCTCATGAAATCAGAGATATCATCAATAGACCCTTCTAATTCACCTTCGAGTCAAATTTTTGAAGTTGATTTACAACCTTCTGAAGCGAAATTCTTAAGTGAAATTTATTTTATACGCTCAAGTGAACATCCTAATCCATTTCATCAACATCACCTCAATTAAAATTTTGCTTACAAGTGCAGGAGCACATAAAATGCCAGAATGTTTCTCAAGTTCATTTTTTGTGATTTTATACACTTTGTCGAATCTTTTTAAGGAAAATGAGTCAGTCAATAAGCAAACATTTTTGCACGAGCTATCACAGAACGTAACTAGATTTATAGTTTGTATAGCAAAACCTGAAGTTGTCTTGTTAATGTCAGCCTCATCACCTCAATGCACCGCCCCAATGTGTCCAAATAAGATGGTTCCGTTTAGGCTCTGGAAAAACATGGGGCAAGAAACAATGCTGCACTACGCTCTTCGAATGTGGTATGTTGGTCCAAAAATGAATTACCCAAAAGAATGCATTGACACACGCTTGGGGAGACTACGCCCGCACATGAAGGTCTACATAAAATGATATATATAGGCCTACCTGAATTAAAATAAATATAGGATATTAAATTTATAGGGTATGTGATATATAGATATATGATATGCATGTTTTAAAAAATCGTAAAGAGGACCTGTGCAATTAGGGGCCACAACTTCTGCTTTCCGTTTAAGAGGTTTCGTCTGCGGCATGTTTAAACCAGCGCAGAGGTCGCCCAGATCACATCACGACCTACAGTGCGGGTGACAGGCAAGACTGTACAAATAAAGTCTCTGATACAACCGAGCTTTGATCTCAAGTGGATGAGCGAATCATTGTCAAAGGTCACGGCAGCCATTATAGTTGGGATGAAAGAGTAATTTGATCACAACAGTTGAAAAGATGAATATTGCATGCTGGCTGGATAACTTCGTGAGTGATTTACAGACCTGACATGCAAAGTACACCGGCTTTGGGGGACTTGCAAAAAAAATGATCCATTCAGTGTGCTACAGACGTCTTGACACAGTGGAAGCCTAGGGTGATCAAGGTGTGTCAGGCCTTACTTCAACTCAGTAGTCAGAGTTTCTGTATGGAATACGAGCGATTCACAATAGTGCGCCACCAAGAGTTTGCAACACGTTGGCCAATCATAACGCGCGAAATTTGTAGACCCTTTCCAAACGTGCATTGGGTCGACAAATTTCGCGCATTGTGGATCAACAAAAACATATAATTGCGACAGCAAGATATCCAAAATTCGGGCTAATTTTTGGAATCTAGATGCTGTCACTTTGGGTTTCTGCCTAGAATGACATCACATTTTTGCTCGTTAATATGAAAATGAAAAGTTGCAGAAAAACCACAAAGGCATCAAAATATCTTTTTCAAAATTATTAAATAAACGCAGAAAATAATTTAAGGTTAAATGGGACACAAAACTGATTGCATTCAAAATCATACTGCAATGACATTTTAAAAGAGATGCGACAAATGACATCCCTCCTTTCCCTGTTTCATTCCGTATGACTTGATAACAACCTCAACATCCCGTCTTTACCCGGACACAGGTGGCGAGCATCATTCTGATCGCCATCGGCGGGTACGTATTGAACAACAGCAGCAAATACTCGGACCTCTTCGGCGAGGGCAGCAGCACGCTGAACGGCGTCTGCGGCGTGGTGATCGGTGTGGGCTGCTTCATTTTCCTGGTGGGCTTTCTGGGCTGCTGCGGCGCCGTCGTCGAGAACGGGCTCTTCCTCAAGCTGGTGAGTGCCCAAGGTCATTCGCGAACAAAGCATGCGCGCGTGTGAAGAGTGGGCGTATGGCTGCCCTAACAGGCCAGACTTCATTCGCACACGTATTGCTGTTCCCGAATGACCTAAGACGCGCTTCATTTTGAGCATGCGCTGCTGGAATACCTAACTATCTCATTCAAGTGATATATACTAAATAAAAATGCCCCCCACTTTACCAATGCCATAAAAACGTGCATTTGAGGCAAATGTTCTCCCCAACCGTGGGTAAGCTTTCTGCTAACCTTCGCCGTCACGGCCTATAGAAAATGGCGGTCAATTTTTTTTTAAACAAAGGAAAGGTATAATACACTTTAACCTTTTGCAGAATTTTTTAATAATTACAAATGCAATTTGAATGTACATCTGAAAAATTATTTGCTTCCATTATAAAACGAGCAAAAATGAACACACCAACAGGCGTGTCCGCTTTGAGCAGAAGCGCCCCTCATCAATTGAAAAGTTGGCAGGGAGTGTTTATGTTGTTGGTAGCAACGCCGCCGTTATCCGTGAATTTCATATTAGTTTGTTAAGCAGCGCAGTACAGTTCCTACCAGAGGAGCCTCCGTTACTAGAAAATTACGCCCTCTCTCGGTGCAGCTTTGGGCTCATACTACCAAACGCTATTTGACTGAGATGATTCGATAGAGCAGTAGTTTTAATTTATCTTCTCAAATCTTGATCCGCTGTTTTGTTTTTTGACTTATTATATTTTTTTCTTTACTTGTACAGTATTTTGTCTTCCTGCTCGTTCTGGTTTTGGCGGAGTTTATCGGAGGCATTGTCGCTTTCGTCTACAGGAATGATGTAAGTGACGAATGGACAATTTTGGGCACTGCTTTCGTTATGTCATCCAAAGCCTGTCTGAATCATTGGCTATGGCTAGTAATGAACGTATGCATGTGGAAGCCACAAGCAAAGGCGACCTCATGCATTTTCCGTGGACGCACATCTATCTCTAGCCGCAGCCGGTTCCTACGGACGCAGCCTTGTTAATGACACACGGCTGATACGCGAACACCGGTGACAACGAATAAGCAAAGAGATGATTTTAACCGTTGAGGGGAACTTTGCATGCTCAGAAGGTGTCTTTTGTTTCCTACCCGTAGATTAGAGAATTCATTGAGAAGAACCTGGATGAACAAGTCACCAAATACTACGGGTTGGCAGATCACAAAGCAATCACAAATGCCATGGATGACCTACAGCAAAAGGTAAGTCCTACGCCAAACCACAAATTTCACTTGACTTTGACAACAGCAGTTTCCCGTTCATTCAATAATTCCCAAAACCTCTTGAGGAGAAAAGGGCCGGAGAACTTAGATAGAAATTTTACAAACCGATAGAATTTGGAAAAGTTGGAGAAACTGTACATATTTATTGACGATTTTCACCATAAAGACGGCAACGTGTGCAAACGTCTAGAAGCTTGATATCCCCATTTTGGTCCACGTCACTGACAAAACCTTCCACGGCACCTGCGTTGTGATGGGAACCACACTCTAAAAAACCCCGGGTCAGATTGACCCAGAAATGGGTCCCATTCGGCATGACCCTTTTTCTAGGTCAAATTATGACCCAGAAAGGGTCAAGTATTACCCATTCTGGGTTAAATATGACCCGAAAGAGGGTCGTATTTTGACCCAGAAAAGGGTCACGCCGAATGGGAACCAATTCTGGGTCAATGTGACCTGGGAGTTTTTAGAGTGCACCATTTCTTTGCCCGTGGGGTTGTTTAGAACGATGTCTTTGCACTCCACATCCTTCCCACCACGTGCCTCATTGTTCACTCTTATACCCGGGAAGATACGGGACGGAGGGGTAACCCCCACCCCACGTGTCCAAACCCTACAGACGCTCTAGACAATTGTTACCTTACTCCCCCCCAATGTCTGAAAAGAATTCCTGAGATTCCGGTAAACAATGACCTACACAAAATGGGGGGGGGTTCTCTCCGTCCCAAAACTTGCTTCAATGATCTTGACACACCGATTTCTCTATTCACGCAGGACAAATGTTGCGGGGTGTTTAACTACACTGACTACTACAACAGCACATTCGCAACTTTGCCTGAATACGCGGGGCAAGCCGTCCCCAAGAGTTGCTGTAAGAATGAGGGCGAAGTAGGCTGCAATAGAGCCAACCCTGACAAGACGATTGCCGATCGAAGTAAAATTTTCACTGATGTGAGCAGATCCAAGTGACAAAGCTTCTTGTTATACACTTTACCTTTATTGTACCTTCTTACAGTTTTTGAGGTCATGTCCCTGCTTGCACGGAGCGTGGATTGCGCAGGAGTTCATGTCTCGGTGTGTTTACAAACATTTTGAAACCATCGCTGGTAATTGTGTTGTGGTCGAGACCCCTTAAGACCATCGAAAGACCGCACAATACCAATATAAAACTTACAAGACTTCCGGTCTGGATTCCAGTCTCAAAGCTATTCAAATGGTAGCAAGAAAAGCACTCTTTTGTCATTCTTCGTGCTATCACTTGTGACTGGTCTCGGCCAGACTGTAAATAGAGAGTTACATCAACTTCAGACTTTGGAACCAAAAGGATTGTTTATGTATGTTGTAGGACAGAATGCAGACATTGTGTGCTAACTGTTCCCGCACACTGGCGCATAATCCATCTGCTTGGTTCCTTTCAAACATCTTTTCTCATGAGTTGATCCTCGATTCAATTACATCATGGAGGTAGGAATCATGTACTTACCTTTAATCCCTGCAGGGTTGCATGGATAAGTTGGTAGCTGTCTTTGAAGACAACTTTGTGTACATTGGAGTGGCCGCGCTGGTTCTGATCCTTGTTGAGGTGGGTAAAACATAGAAGGACGTTTAGAAACATGACATCGGCTGCAAGCCTGTGAGTGTATACCCAGCAAGACATGAGACCGAGGGGTACCCCCCCAACATGTCCAATCCCTATAC